GGCAGCCGTGCCCTCTCTATTAGACAATGACTACCGGTTCACGGTGCGCGTGACCAACGACACGCTGGTGTCTCTGTTTGACGTGGTCAACTCGTCGCTGGAGGGGCCCTACACCTTCGGCATCTTTAACCTCAACTACTACGTGCACCAGCAGTGCGAGTTTGAACTCGAATTCAAGTACAAAGGTTAGTTGAGTAGAAAGGAGGGTAGACGCACAAAGGAGAGTGGGAGTGGGAAGGGGTGGGGTCACGGGCAAAGGGGAGGGGCCCTACACCTTTGGCATCTTCAACCTCAACTACCACGTGCACCAGAGCTGCGAGTTCGAGCTTGAATTCAAGTACAAAGGTGCGGTGGTGTGCGGTGATGTGTGGTCCCGTGCGGTCGTGTGCGGTCATGTGCGGTCCTGTGCGGTCATTTGTTGTTGTGTGTCTCCCCTGCTCGCATCTTCAACCTCAACTACTAAGTGCACCAGAGCTGCGAGTTCGAGCTCGAGTTCAGGTGCAAAGGTGGGTTCAGGTGCAAAGCTGGGTTCAGGTGCAAAGGTGGGTTCAGGTGCAAAGGTGGGTTCGGGTGCAAAGGTACTATTAAGTGCAAATGTGTGTCCAAATACCCATGCAAGGTGGGTTCTTGCCTGCTCGTACATATTTACACATGCCCTCCCCACTACTCACCCTGTGCTCTCGCCCCCTCTGCACCCCACAGACTCCCCCAGCTTCTTCGACTCGCCCTACATAATCATAATCTACGCAGTGCTCGCCTTCCTGCTGCCTTGCTTCTCGTTCCCTTCCCTTTTCCCCCCTTGTCCCATGCCCTCCCTCGCCTCCACCCCCCATTCCCCCCAACACAGACCCCCCCAGCTTCTTCGACTCGCCATACATAATCATGATCTACGCGGTTCTCGCCTTCCTGCTGCTCGTGCTCATCCCTCTCCCCCCCTGTCCTCCCTCTCCCACTTCCTCCCGCCCCATTTCCCTACCCTCTTTCTCTTCGAACAGACTCCCCCAGCTTCTTCGACTCGCCCTACATAATCGTAATCTACGCGGTCCTCGCCTTCCTGCTGCTCGTGCTCATCGTCATCGTGCTGCGCTGCGTCATCCGCCGCCCGCCCCCCGCCGCTGCTGACGTGGAGCTCTCCGCTCTCGGTGACATGGACAGGGTGAGTGCTGACGTGGACAGGGCGAGCGCCGATGTGGACAGGTGCTTGGTTTAGACAGACAGGGTTTGTGACGAGTGGCAGTGCTATCGCTCCCCCACCCGTCCTCCTCTTCCTGTTGTCCATGTATATGCCCATTATTGCTTGCATGTCTCTACTTCCACGTCTACCGCCCCGCTCCTCCCTTCTTTCCCATTCCTGCCCTTGCCGCCCCGCATCAGCACGTGGAGGCGGTGCCAACAGGCGTGGACAGGGCGCTGGTGGAGTCGTTCCCGCTGGTGAAGTTCCGAGACGACCTCTTTGAATCCTCCGATGACGCACAGTGAGTGCCGCATTCCCCCGAACAATGCGTGCTCACCAATGTGCTTCTAGCATTGCTCGCCTGCACTGCACTGCACTGCACTGCACTGCGTCGCTTCCTTTCTCAGCATATTACGCCTTCTCTCCCATTGCCTGTCTAACCACACACGTGCATGCCATTTCCACCCCTGCTATTTGTCTCCATCATCCCCCTCTCTACCCGTCGTCCGGAGCACTCGTACCCTTTTCCTCTCAGTGGCCCATACTGCATCCTCCCATCTCCCTCTACCTTCCCTTTTTTCCCCTAGTATCTCCTCATCCCTCATTCCTCTTCTTCCCCCTCTCCCCCCTCCCACCTCCACCCCTTCCCCACTCCAGCTGTGCGGTGTGTCTAGCGGACTATGACGAGCAGGAGAGTCTGAGGAAGCTGCCGGCGTGCAGCCACTACTTCTTCATCCTCATTCCTCTCCCTCTCTGCGCTCCGCCTTCTCCCCCCTTCTCCCCTTCCCCTCGCAGCTGTGCGGTGTGCCTGGCGGACTACGACGAGCAGGAGAGCTTGAGGAAGCTGCCGGCATGCAGCCACTACTTCCACGTGTCGTGCATCGGGGAGTGGCTGCGCACGCGCTGCTCCTGCCCCCTCTGCCGCCGCTACGTGCTGCTGCAGCCGCCACAGCCCCAGCAGCCAGAACAGCCACAGCAGGCAGCGCAGCCCTCGGCCTTGCAAGCAGAGCAGGCAGGGCCACTGACGCAGCCCACACAGGCGGAGCAGAACAGCCGGAGGTGTGCGGAGGAGGGTCAGTCGGAGCAGCTGCTGCCAACGCAGTTGGGGCAGAGCAACGAGAGGTCTGAGGAGGAGGAGTCGGAGCATGGAGAGGAGCAAGTGGCAGAGCAAGGGCAAAATGCACATTCACATGGGCTTATAGAGGGCAGTGAGATTATACAGGGTGCTGGGGAGGATTGTGCTGTGCAGCGAAATGGGTGTGGGGGAGTTGTATCTGCCAAGGAGCAACAAGGGGAGGCTCAGGTGGATTTGAAACAGCGGCTACAGGAGAACCATCAGCAACGGCATGAGGAGCAGGTGGATGGTGAAAGGGATGGGCAGTGGCATGAAGAGGAGAGACTGATGAAGCGGGAGGGGGAGGAGGGGATGATGCAGGAGGCATGTGAAGGGGAGAATGATGTGATTTATAACCCAGAGCCAGCTCTAGAAGGCTTGTTGGAAAGAGATGGAAGGCAGCATGGGGAGCGTCATGGGGAAGTTAATGCAGATCGGGCTGAACATGCGTGCATTAGCAGGATGCCATAAGGCATCACATATAGGTACGATTCCTGTTTATAGTGATGCTGAATGGAATGTGAATGTTCGTGAACACAATAGAGCTGAGATACTTCATATATGTCTGTGTGTGGTGCTTTCATATAAATGAGAGTTTTTTGCTCGCGTTACATGTACCGTAGCGGACTAAAATCATTGCCACCCCTGGCGAATGAGATGTGTGGCGAACTTCAGCTCCATTGCATAACGAGTCGCGTTGCGATGGAAAACCAGGACTGCGAAGTGTCTAGCATCAATCCAACGTGGGTTCAAGAAAGTTTCGCTTCACCTCCGCTTCGCCTACAAATTATACGAACGACGTAGAAACGAGTGTCACGGTAACACACAGCGTTCGCAAATAAATACCAGCGCACGTAACGAAGATATCGATAACCTTCCAAGCAAGCCGAGCCGCTCCGAACCAGCGACGAATCGCGCGGACCCATCACATTCCCCCGTCGCACATCGCTGAATTTGCATAGCTCTGGTATTCCAAGCCAAGCCATGACCTGCCCTTGGTCATTTGCGCCTCGACTTCCCAAACCTGGGGGCGCTTGTTTTGAGAGATCTAGGCTTGAACATGCTCACTTCCCCAGCAGCAACCACCTCGCTGCAACTGTTTCTGCGATGATAGTGCAACCTAACGCTCATGTCAGCACGCGACGCGACTCTGCTCACTGCCGTACATACATATTACATATCCATCCATACCCTTTTATTTCTTCGACAGTGGTACATCGAGGCATGGATATCCGCCGCAGCCCTGTTCAGATACACGTAGGCTCCGTAGTCCGTACAAAGTATCAGCCTACGTGGCAGGGGCTTGGGGTAGGGGAGGGGAGGGTCCGGGGGGGTTCCTCCTTAGCATCGTCGACTGAAGCGTGGCGAGGCGGGTCGATCTCCGAACAGTGAGACCGAGCGCAGCAGGCCTACCAAAGCAGAGAGAAATAGAGCACATTAGGCTAACTTATGGGCGACGATGAGACGGCCACACACGGTTAGGCAGGTAACGAGCCAAGCCAACAGCACCTTCCCTGCATCACGCGAGTGAGCAGCAACCAACAGTGTCAGGCGAGGCAGCAGCATTTGGTGCCGCTTAGGAGGAACAACGGCTCTAGGTTCGAGTCAAGTTAGAGATTGTTCTCTCTCAACACAGTGCTCGGCACAGTGCTCGTCAGCAGTTTAGCTTCTCTCGGAACGCAACTGCTCTCACCGAGTTGCCTTTTTTCCCGCAGCTGAACGAGTCGACGAACAGCCGACGGCGCTCCGTCCTGATCAGCACGGCTTGACGAAACCGATGCGAGGGTTGTGTCGATCTAGTATAGCCGGCTTCGTGAATAGACTTGTTCCATTAGCAGTCTCGTTCGGTAAAGCTTAGGACAACGAGTTCTTCCCCGTCTCTCCTCTTACTAGCCTCGGGTTCTCGCGACCGCCCCGTCGCATGGGGTCGGGCGACACGCCGCAGGCTGCGAGCCTGTAGCTTCCCTCACCCGCGTTCCGCTAGAACCGAGTAATACCGAACTCGAGCCCGGCAGACGACTCGATATCCGCGTACTAAAAGTCACATAGCTGGCGGGGTTGGCGGGGGTGGCGGGTTGTGGGGGGGATAGGAGTGAAGAACAGGTGTCGATCAGGCTGAGCAAAGGAGGATTTGCGACATGGCATGGAAGATCCAGGTTAGTTCGCACGCGTCGCACGGCGTTTATCGCTTCGCCTCCACTGCTTCGCGACTCTCGGGTTACATATCACCTCGTATGTACTGTGAGGGGTTGTAGCATCTGTATAAATCACACACGGGCGACACGTGTCTGATCTGAATGTGCTCACCCGTAATTCCTCCCTTTCCATCTCGCCCCCTCCCCCGCCTCGGGTGGCTGTGCGACACGCGATGGTGTCGCCCGCGGGCCAGTCGTCGCACAAGGTTCACCACGTCGACCCGAAGCAGCGAACGAGGTAATCTTGCGGGTTGTGAGGCGCCTCGATCATATCGCGTGCGACCCGTCACAGCCACAATCATTAGAGCCCCGTGTTTCAGTTACCTGCTTGACGTTTCCATCAGAACTTTGCTAGCCCCCAACCAACCACCTCTGCCGTGCACCCTCATTCCCTTCCCCTTCCCCCCACCTCCATCCCTCGTCTCCGCCAAACTAACATCCCACCAACGTGTGCCTCCCACTTGTGCACCGATCTTCCCGCATCAGCTCTACGAAGCACGCCCCCCGTCGCAGTCGCATGCGATTCCTCTGCGGCGTTCCCTGCATGGACGCTGTCGTCGACGACGACGTGTGCGACAACGCGCGACTGGCAACACCAGACACTACCGCAGCGGTCCTCCGCAAGTCCGCGCAAGCGGAAGGAGCTGCGCAACACGGGGAAGGAATCCTCCCCAGGCTGCCTGTCCCCAGGCTCGGCAGCGGAAGCCCCGCGGGGCGTCGGGGGAGCGGCGGCGTATGCCAAGCCGCGGGCGCTGCTGCGCCTTCCGCCAACGGCACCGCTGGCGGAAGCCACGTGGTAGCTGGTCGCGCAAGCCGCAGCAGGCACGGCAGCGGAAGCGGCGGAGGGAGCGGGAGTAGCGGGGGGCTGGACGAGTGGGTGGGGGAGAGGAGCGAGCGGTGGTTGGGCTCCAACGGCTCTCACGCGGGAAACGCGGCGGAATCGGCGGGAGAATCGTCAGACGAGGACGATGCGAGCGACAGCGGGATCATGTTCGCTGGGGCCAAAGCGGAGCTCGCTGAGCGCATTTGGCGGCGGCAAGTGCGGGGAGCAATGAGTAAGGAAGGTGCGGGAAGGGAGGGGGAAGCGGAGGAGGGGACGCGAAGGGACGAGGGCGCAAGAGATGAGGGGCGCGGGAACGATGCGCGCGCAGGGGAGCGGGAGCGTCGGGGGGAGGAGGTGGAGATGATTCGACTGTTGAAGGAGCGGAAAGAGCGGCAGCAGCAGCGCCAGCAGCAGCAACAGCAGCTGCAGCGGCAGAAGCGGCAAGGCCTCCATCCGGAAACGGGTGGCATGGGCACAGAATGCGGCAGCTCGGCGAAACACTATGTCGAGGACACGACTCGCCGATTAGCGGAGCACGAGGATAGGGGGGACGAGGATGGGAGGGGAAGGGGGCATGAAGATGGGGGGGATGTGGGCAGCGGGACGAGCGGCGGGCGGAACTATTGGCGGGAAGTGGTGCGCCAAGGCTGCGCTGAGCGCGGGGAACACGGCGGGATGGCGCAAGCGGAGGCGCGGAAACAGATGGCGGAACCCGCGCAGAGGAAGGCGGAAGCGCAGGGGAGGGGACAAGCGGGAGTGGAGTCACGGGGGGCGGAGGCGGAGGGTAACACCTGCGACAGTGCGAGGGACAGTGAAGAGAGTGCTTTTAGCGAGGATAGCTGGGAGAGGAGCGGGGAAGAACGCGCGAGGGAAGAACTTGGGGTAGTCGACGCGCGCGGGGAGGGGGAGAGACGGGGTGGCGCAGGAGAAGAAGCGGAAGAAGACGTAGACGCGCTAGAAGATGATTCGTCACCCGTTAAGAAGCTGTGGCAGGGGCTTATGGGTTCAACGGGTGCTGGTGACACCACAGTTGGAAGAACTAGTGGTGCTAATGCTGATTGTACTGTACCTGGTCTTAGCGGCGCTGCTGTGTCTGCCGCTGCTGGCGGCGGCGGTAGCAGCGGCGTGTGCGGTGGGGGACAGGGGGGCATGACGCCTAGGCGACGCGCGAAGATGATTCGACTGCTGGAGGAGGTGAGGGAGGAGGAGGGGGAGGGGGATGAGGCGGAGAGAGAGGAGGGGAAGAGGGAGGATGAGGGGGAGAGGGAGAAGGAAGGGAGGGAGAGGGAGGAGAAGAGGCAGAAAGGGTTGGGGAATGAGATGATGAGTCCTGGTAAAGGGGTGGGTTGGCAGGGGGCGAACATGGAAGAAGTGGGAGAAGGAGGAGGAGAAAGCGGGGAGGAGAGGGGGACTGGGTTTGACGAGAGGGAGATGGGTTTTGAGGAATCGCTTGGTGTGTGGAGAGCGAGAGAGGAGGCATCGTGGCGCGAGAGGGTGGCGGGGTGGGAGGAGCGGAGAGGGGGCGAGGCATGGGCGGAGGAGGATGATGGGGACGAGGGAGAAGGGGAGGGAGAGGGGGAGGGGGAAGGGTCAGAGCTGGTGAGAGAGGGACGAGAGGAGCAAGGGGAGTCGGTTGGAAGGGGTGGGGTGGTGGAACAGAGCTTGCAGTGGTTGGGTTCGGTTCTACAAGAGGAGGAGGGAGGAGGGATGGAGAGAAGCAGAGGAGAGAACGACAGAGGGCTGGCAGTACAGTACGAGCTCACAGCACAGCATGACTTAACAGCACAGCAAGAGCATTCACTCATGTCCTCCTATGTGACCTTCGACTCACAGCCATCGCCCACACCATCTGGTTCCGATGCAGCTGACACAGCAACATCGGCTCTAGCACCCGCCCCCTCCCTCTCCCCTCCAACCTCCTCCACTGCTCCCTCCCTCTCCCCCCTGACTTCTTCCACTGCTCCCTCCTCCCCTCCGCTCCTCACTGCTTCCGCTCCTGCCGACCCTGCGCCTCCTCGTGCCGCCGAGCCTCCATTGCCAAGCCTGAACCCGGTGGAACCGAGCCTGGCGGCGGTTCGGCCGAGGCTGACGTCGAGTGTGATTCGGAACGCGCACCGCAAGGTGGTGGCACAGCGAGTGGCAGCCACGGCTGAGGCCAGAGCTGCTGCTTACGCCGCTGCTCCTGCTCCTCCTGCTCCTCATGCTCCTCATGCTGCTCCTGTTGCTTCTGCTGCTGCTGCTGTTGCCGAGAGTCGAACTGCTGAGAATAGAAGTGCAGGGGCAATGTCTAGTGCACCCGGCGCTGTTGCAGGTGCCACTGTCACAGCCACTGCACCTGCTGCTAGCACCCGTGCCTCTGCCCTCGCTGCCTTGGCCGCTGCTCCCACTGCTGCCGCTTTTGCTGGTGCTGGTGCTGGCGCTGATAGTGTTTCTCAGGAAACGCCAGCGGTGCAGTCAGGTGCAGAGGTAGCCGGAGCAGTTGCCTGGGCTGCAATAGAGAGTGACAGAGTGGAAGGTTGCGAGAGAGGGAGGGGTGGAGGGGAGCAGCAGGGGCGGAGAGGCGGTGAGGAGGCAGGGCAGGTAGAAGGTGATGCAGGGGGAAAGGGAAGCAAGGCGGGGAAGGGCGGGAGGAGAGAAACAAAGAAAGGCTGTGGGGTAGTGAAGGAGAAGAAGGGGCGAGGGGTTAAGGGTGGTGGTGAGGCGTGCAGAGCTGAGGAGGAAGGGAATGGGCGTGGCAAGGCTGGGGTAAGAGAGACACAGACAGCATCAGCAACAGCAGCACCGTTGGATCCATCATCCTTGCAATCTCCATCGTTGGATGCAGCAGCGGGAACAACAGCAGCACCAGCAGGGGAGAGTGCCAGGTTCCCCCCAACACCATCACAGCAACCAGCATCAACAGCCATCCCACCGTTAGTAGCACCAGAGGCTGCAGTCACACAGCCGGGTTACCACCTGCCCTCTCGCACGTCCTCTCACTCTCTTTCCTCCGCCTCCATTCCCCCCCATGCTTCCACAGCCACTGCTGCTGCTGCCGCCGCTGCTGTTGCCCGCTTCCTTGCAGCAGCAGACTCCCAGCTGCAGCAATCCCTCTCTCCCTTCCCTGCACCTCCTGAAACCACTGGTAACCATGTTACACAGGAGAATGGCTATCCGTGGTACACTCCTCACCACCCCTCTCAACCGTACTTCTACGTACCATCCCCATTCACACCCTATCCCACCACCGCTCCCAACCCCCCTGGATCTTGCTTCCCTCCCCGAGCCATCTCCCTCGGTGCCATCAACACCCCCCTGCACGCTCCGAACCTCTTTTTCCCAGGCTCGGACCCGAACCGCGCGAACGCAGCAGCAGCTCCTGCTGCTATAGCTGCAGGCTCGGCACCGAGCCAAGATGCACCTGGTTCGGGCTCAGCCGGCGCCCAGGGTTCAGCCCAGGGGAGTTGTCTGTCCCATCCACCCGAAAATGCTGCTTCCTCCCATCACTTCCCTACACCTGTTGCTGCTGCTGCTGCCGCCTTTCCTCCTCGAATTCGCTCACTCACTGCCATTGGTGCAGGCACAGAGAGAGACAGCACCACTGGTGCTGCTACTGCTGCCGCTGCTGCTGCAGCAGCAGGGTCTGGAACGCAGTGGTCTCCCTCCCCTGGCCCCTCACACCCCGCTCTCCCCGCCTTCCCCCCACGAGTGTACTCCCTTGGTGCTCTTGCCTCGGCACACCAGCATCAGCAGCAGCAACTGTACCAGCAGCAGCAGCAACCTTACCAGATGCAGCCTTTCCCCATGCCTTTTCACCACCCATATGCGTATATGCAAGGTTACAACGGTTACACCCAGGGATACAGTGGTAACCCGCAGTTCACGCAGGCGTTACAGCAGCCAATGATAATCAGCGCCTCTAGTGCTGCTGATGCAGTGGCTGCTGCTGCCGCTGTTGGATCCAGTCACTTGGATCCGCAGCTAAGACAGCAGGCAACACAGCAGCTAGCACAGCACCCACCACAGCAGAAACAGCAGGCGAAAAAATCCATTCAGCCTCAGCCTCACCAGCAGCAGCAGCAGCAACACCCTCAGCCTCAGCAGCAGTCGAAGCAGCCACGGAAGTCATGCCTCAAGAAGGGGTCAAAGCAGAGCCAAACTCCCAAGGCATCGCCGCAGGAGGCAGGTGCAGGTGCAACAGCACCAGGCAGGACAGCAGCAGCACGTGCAGGGACAGCACCAGCACCCAAGGACTCAGCATCAGCATGCAGAGGTGGAGTTACCAGCAGCAGCAGCGGTGAGCAGGGGTCAGGGCAGAGACAGTACCTGGTGCTGGAGCTGCCTCCGCCAGAATCTACCGACTCTGCCAATTCTGCCGCTGCTGCCACTACTGCTGCTACTGCTGCTGCTGCCGCCGCGGATAGTGCTTATGCTGGCCAATCTGATGCCTTGCCTGCCGGATTTGGCAGTGGAAGCAGCGGCAACGGAGCAACTACCAGCGCCCTCCCCTCCAACGCACTGCCGCCTGGGCACAATGCATTCCCCTTCCCGCCCTTCCATCCCTCCTCCTACCACCCCTCCCCCTACCAGCCTTTCATGGACCCATACACAGGGCTGCCCTGGGGGATGGCTCCACCAATAGGAGGGAACCACGTGGCAGCACCTGGTTTCAGTGACCACCAGCCATGGATGATGCATCCCCAGGAGCAGCAAGTTTCTTTGTCCGCTGCGCAGAGCGGTTGGGGTGCTGACGGTTGGACTGGTGGTAGCACTGAAGGATGGAGTCAGGGTGAGGGTTTGAAGGCAGGTGGTGCTGGTGCTACGCTTCCTGCACTTGTGGGTGCAGGGGCGGAGGGATTTGAGGTGCATACAGGGGTGGAGGGATTTGAGGTGCATACAGGGGTGGAGGAATTTAAGGTGCATGACTCGGTGACGCTGCTTCCAGATGAGAACAGCAGTGGTGAGAGCTGTCAAGTCGAGGGTGGTAATGGTGCTGTCAGCGGTGGTGGCAGCAGCAGTAGGCGGGTGAATAATGGGAAGGACGTTCATCCAAATGTGGTGATCAGGCAGCGCAGCACCACCCCTCCACGTCAGCACCTTTTGCACAAAAATAGTCATAAGTGAGGAGAGCTGTATGGAGACCCCCTTTTGTTCCCCTAACTTATTGCAACTGAACATGCACTCTGGTTTCATTATTCGTACACGAGTGGAGTCAAATGGTTGCAAATAGACTGCACTGCACACTGATGTATTTTTTCCATACATTAGTGGAGTTACCAGTAAATGGGTGGAAGGAGAACGCGCTCTCTGATCTCCTCTTTTGTATGAGAGACGCAGTTAATTGGGTGTAAAGAGAGGGGGCACTCTGATGACACTCTGAGTTGATCGCTTCGAGTATACAAGCTATCTAGAAAAAACATATTGAAGTACATATTTGTATATCGATTTTCTGAGTATCCGTAATGTCTGGTCAGTATGCGTACTCAGATTCTTCACTGTATGGTACTCGCTGCTGGATCGCTCTATACCGCGTATGTACACACGCCCTTCCCAAAGCGCAGGTGTGACAAACGCGAATGTTCTAAAACGCATCCAAATAGCAGGGCGGGTCAAGTGACCAAACCAATGTAGGCTCGTTTCCTCCACAAGCTAACCTCAATGGGGGGACGTGACGACTCCAGGTCAGCGCGTTTCGAATATGACGCTAGTAATTTCTGGTTCGGTGTGCGCGACTCGCGGTTTCAGAATTTTCCGTACGAATATTGCGCTTCGGCTTTCCATACCTCTCAAATTTGCGCCCCTCGCCTACACCCGCCCCTCCTACAGCCCTCACATCTTGTCAAGTGCCATGCCCAACCAGTCCAGGTGCTTCCGCTCCAACCTAACCCAAATCCGTCCACCTTACAGCATCACTGCCTCGTCCAAGCTACTGTCTGCTTCGCGCCTTTTCTCCTTCCCACCCCTTATCCTGCGTTCTGCTTTCGAAACAACGCCCAGATATGATCAAGCACCACCACACGACCAGCCTCCAGTAGCAATTATGAAGTAAATTAGTCTAACTCCTTCGTCGCCGAGAACAATTCACGCGTCTTGATGTTGCCTTCACGATCACATTCCACCTCGTCGATTCACCCCAGCAGAGACATGACGGGAAGCGCTCAGGGCGCGCTTTCGCGCCTTCAGCAGCAGCAGCAACAAGAAGAGGTAGTAGGGCAGATATACCCAACCAGGCGGCATCAACACCAGCAACGGCAGCTGCAACCTCAGCAGCAGTACGGACAGGTGTACCCCGAAGAGAGAGAGGCGCCGCAAAAGCAGGATCGCGCGGTGCCTGCTAGGAAAGAGGTGGCGAAATTGCGGGCGCGCGGTTCGAGCCGGCAACGGGAATGGAAGGCAAAGAACCTGATGCGCTCGAGTCAACGAAGTCAACGGCGTTCGCCCGCGCGGTACGAGGGAGGCAGCGACCAGCCAGACTGCTTCTTCTCCTCGTGTTGCTGCTTGATGTTTGTTGGCCGTAATCGACGGCCCCGATCGTCTTGCGGCAGCGCCTCGATCTATTCCGGCCCGCTCTCTTCTACGCGGCGGAGCCAGGAGCTTGCGCACGAAGCATTCGCGGACGATGGCGCTGAACTGGCGCTATCAGGGCATGGGGGAACGGGAACGGTGGCCGCGCGCAATGTTTCCGCTGTCGAGCTTCTCCGCGCTGGGTCGCGCAATGACGGGGCGCGCGGGAGAGGGTGGGTTGCGGGGGAGAGCGACGACGACGACGACGACGACGACGACGATGACGATGACGCTAACGTTGACGGTGTCGGCGATGACGGCGATTATGACGGAGAGGACGAGCAACATGGGGAAATCGAAAGGGAGCAAGGGTCGGCTGAAAGTGCTGAAAACCCTGGACAATCGGACGCCTGCGTTAGCCAAGAGTTCGTCTCGTCGACTGCCACAGTTTTTCGCAACAATGCAACCAGCACGCCCGCGGAAAACCCGGCTGACGTGTCCGAAGCCGCTGACAACCGTTTCCCCTCCGCGCCTCGCCTCCCGCGCGGCGTTTCCAAGGAGACTCTTGTGTCGCTCATCCGCACGGCGGAGGAAGTCGGTGCGCTGCGCGCGACGGAATCGAAGGACGCCGCAGCGCTGCTGCTCGCAGCCTTGGAAGACATTTCCGTGCCGTCCGTCCACCGAGCCAGCAGCCTCGGCAAGATCTCCTGCAGCTCCGGCTCCGGAGCTGCCGCCGCCGCTGCGGCATCTGCAGCAGCGGCCGCTGCGGCGGCGGCCGCCGCCGCCACCGCTGTAACGGGGCGTTCGAGAAGACCGATTTTGGGAAGTGGCAAGTTGGCGTGCTGTCCCGGCGCCGACAGCTGCGTGGTTCCTCGATCTCTCTCCGCCGACCTCCTCACCACTCGTTCCCTCGAGCTAAGGCACTCACTGGAGCTCCGTCAGTTCATGGAAGAACAGCGTGCTATCGTGGGGGATGGGCTGTTGATTCTCGACCGTTCGATGGAGATGCAGCACATGGCGGAGATGGACCCGATTTCCATGGAGCGGGAGTATTCCCCGAAGCACGGCGGCTTTGACGGGTCGATTGAGCTCGCCGGGTCAACGGCGGTCAACGGCCGGTCAATGGAGTTCAACCGGACTTTTGAAATCAAACGGTCCTCCCAGCCGCCCGTTCTTGCCGAGCCTAAACCCTCGTGCCGAGGCAGCAGCTCAGCTCCGACCCGCCCAGCGGTACCCCGGCAAGAGCCTCTGTCGCCTCTCATGCTTCCAAGCCACAGGCATGACTCGTTTGCCCCCACTCGTCTCTCTCTTGCGCGTGATTTGCCAGAGGAAAGTGAGGAGGGCGAGGAAACGGAGGATATTAGTGTAAGCAGGAGCAACAGCAGCAGCAACACCAGCACTGGCGGAGGCAGCTGCGAAGGGAGTGGCGCAAGGTGCAGAGCGGTAGCCGGACCAGAGGGCGGGTCACAAAGGGATGCGGCGCGGTTTGGTTCCGATTCTGGTAGAGGAGAGGAGAGTCAAAGCGAAGAGGTAGCAGAACTGCAACAATTCGTCCGCAGCAGCAGGAGTTTCAACGCTGCCAGAGGTCACGAGCCGAGAGCTATTAACGGGGGCAACACCAACCTGTCCCGTAACATGCATAACATGAACAGTCCTAACAATTTTAACAATCTTAACCGATCTGCTCCTTTGGACTTCCCAAGTCTCCCCTCCATGCCTGCCTGGCCAGCTCCGGCCAAGCCTCGAATGGCCTCGTCCGTCATAGTCAACGCTCGTCGCCGAACCTTTAGTCGCCCACACTCCCCTGCTCGAGCCTACAGCCCCCGACCTCTTTCCCCCATAGCCTCATCCACTCCAACAGGTTCGGGCTTGGGAGGTGCCTCAGGGTGGGCTGCAAGGAGGGGAGTGGACGCCGGCAGCAGTGCAGATAGAGGTGGGGAAGGGAGTGGCGTTGCAGCGATCGTCGAATCAAATGGCGAGGTTCGACGCTCTTATGCAAGCTTGGAAAGAAGCTGGTCTGGAGATCTGGGCATGAGGGGTGGATTTACCGAAAGTGGGGTTAACTTGAGAGAGAAGGCGTGGGATGGTGAGCAGGTCGGGGAGGAAGAAGATGCTTGGGAGATGAGGCAACAGCACCAAAGCCAGCAGATCCAGCAGGGACCACAAGACGTTGATGAGGATTTGTATTACTACCATTTGTGGCAGCAGCAGCATAAGCAGTTTCAGAAACTATATGAGCAGGAGGAAGATGGTGGGTTCCAGCGGCAGGAGCAGCAGGTGCAGTACCAGCAACGCCTACAACAGGAAGCAAGGGCTAGAGATGGTGTCAAACGGCATTGGAGGCCTTGATCCAATGCTGTTGGATGCGAATAGCGTAGGAATTGGAGTCATGTGATGGATTTGTTAAACTAAGGGCGCGTGTGGTCTTACAAATTTGTGAAAGTTCACACGCGCCCTAATCCCATTTTCATAGTATTTGTATATTGCACGCTGATATGTTGAAGTGTTTTTTCTCCTGTAAAGAATGCTGAAGGTTGTGGTGCCTATCTTCGGAAGTAGGACTGATATCAGGAGCGTTGTAACGTGTAGCTCGACATGAGGCAAAGGAGGGGGGTTGGAAGTGACAGGCTTAAAGCCCAGCCCCCGAATTACCGAAACGCCTTCACAAACTGGGCCCAGTTTATGTCTCGCCCCTTCTGGTTTTGGGGAAGAGAGGTTTAGGAGAGGTTTTCGAACCTCAGCACTCTGCTTTCCCGAACCTATTTTCCCGCGTTGACTTCCGTTGAGTAATTCGGGTGTGCCCTTTAAGGCGGGAAAAACCTCTGAGATTTGTGCAGTTCGATAATTGCAGTTCGATTGCAGTCCAGTCCAGTGATGGCGATGAATTTGCCAGTTCATCTCGGCCGTCGAACTGGTCTTTCGATTTCAATCATGAGCAGACATGCCAGCTGTCACTTCACCAATGGCTTCAGGTCTCCACAACCAGGTGTCCAAGATGGATGAAGCAAGGTGTTAGAAAGCAAAATGCAGGAAAACGGTAGCAAAGAGGAAGTATTTTCATTGCCATTTTCTTCCATCGAAATGAGTACAGTATCGTATCATCGCGCCCATTCAGCACAAGATGGAAAGTCTCCCTTGTCAGCTGTCCTTATTTCCCTCGTGACCAAGGTGCTCTGCGACTCTGTGGTGACAATCCCCGCCACCCACTCTCAAACACAAACTCATCCGACAAATCGCGCTTCGAAACTTGAATTTCCCTCGTCCCCCCAGCCAAGTGCAAATTCCCTTTTCCTCCCATGATCCCATCTTGAGCATCTGTCTGGTCTGGAGCTAGCTGGCCCACACACACACCCCACCCCCACGTTACTGTACGAGTGTTACCCCTCTGGAATACACATGATGCCCGACCAGTGCACGCGAATTTGCCATGCACCGGATGGACACGCTGCCCCTGAACTCGAAACCCCTGCTTGCTGCACCCCATGTACAGGCACCTGGATGGCCTTCTACAGTGAACGCGGCTCGGCCTCCCCCCCACGTGCAGACCACAACAAGCAGTGCCGACCCATGTTTCCCCTTGTTTCTAGGCCAGGCGCCAACCTGACGAAACGAATGGACGAAATGAAAATGGTTTCGTAATTGCATTCGCCCACCTACCCCGCCACCTAGGCAAGTTTCAAGGTGCGTGTAACAGACATCTGGCCTGGTGCACGCTGCCACATGTAAACCTCAATTGTGGGGTACAAGGCCACTAACATCCAGGCGTTGTTCGCCTAACCCACGTCAGAGTATAACTCTGGTGGTAACCCAACCACATGTATGAAATTGTAAGCAGGGTGCATGTAACGAATCATCACAACACAATTCAACCCCCGTCACCCTGAACGGGCCCCAGAGCAGGTTATCCGCGGTCCTAAACACAAGTTATAAACTGATGAGCAAATTCACAAGAGCATCAGTATCTCCCGCCTTAGCCTCCCACAATGCCTCGCCACCATCGCCGCGAGCAGCTTCCGCTATTCATCAAGCGCGCATTATGCGCGCATCACGTCGATTATCCCCTCCTGCGCCACGTCGATCTTGCACGCTGGGTTTACGCCCAGTATGGCCTGCGACCTGACCGCTCCACGGTCGGCCGCATCCTGAAGAATGCGGGCCGCTGGGCTCTGGAGGAACCCAACGCCCCCAATCAGGTGCGGCGCCGGGGCGGCGCATGGCCTGAGCTTGAGCAGGCCATGGCTCGCTGGATCGCAAACGCGGGCCCCGCGGGCGTGCCACTCACTCTGCAGACGATACGCGACCACGTGGCGACGATGGCGCGACGCATGGGCATTCCGCCCGCGTTCCGTTGCTCCATTGGCTGGGTCCGCCGTGCGTTGAGGCGCCAAGGAGTGCGGTGCCGTGCAGCCATCGGCGAGGCGGCGAGCGCCGACATGGCGGCTGTGCGTGAGGCGCGTGAGAAAGTGCCGCAGCTTCTGACTCACCTCGGTTACCAACCGCGCGACACTTTCAACTTTGACGAGACTGCGTTGTGGCTCTCTGTGCTGCCGCGTAAGACGTACAGCAACGCGCGCATTCCCGGGCGCAAGGTCTCGAAGGACCGCCTGACGGTGGCTTTTCTCGTCAACGCTGACGGGAGCCACGTCTTCCGGCCGTTGGTCATCAGCAAGGCGCGCCGTCCGCACGACTTCAGGCCGGACTACGACCCGGAAGCTCTGTGCTACTGGCGGCACAACGCGAAAGGCTGGATGACCAGCTCGGTAAGTCACAGGCGCCTGCGTTATTGCGCGCATTTACCCCCTTCCCCCCACACCCCCCCCTCACCGTCCCCGTCCACCCTCCCTCCACTCCCATCCAACAGTTGTTCACGCATTTCATATCGCAGCTCAATGCCGCGATGTATGCCGAGAGGAGGCACATCGCGGTGCTGCTCGACAATGCAAGCTCCCACATGCTGCGGGACGAGTGCGCTTGGAGCGAAATCGTCTGCGGCATGCGGACCACTTGCCTCAGCAATGTGCGCCTCGTCTTCCTGCCGCCTAACACAACCTCCTACACGCAGCCCCTCGACCAGGGCATGATCGCGACAGCGAAGGCCCGCTATCGACAGCACTGGCTGCAGGCCTTCACTGCACTGTGGAATGACGACGGCGCAACCAGTGCCGTCGCCCGCTGGCGCCCCAATCTTCGCGACGTGCTCGGTTGGCTCTCCGACGCCTGGATGAGCGTCGGAGCGCGCACCATCCAGAGGTGCTTCTGGCGCACGGGCTGCTTGCCTCTATCGTGGTCGCTGGAACTCACGCATGTGCATGATGACGATCCCACCCCCCATGCTTACCCGGACATTGAGCTCGACGACGACATCGACAATGTCGGGGAGCTCATATGCGGGCTTGGGCTCGGCGCCGGCGCAATGACCGCCGCCGAGTACGTCGCCATCGACGAGGGCGAGCCGACGTGCGCGGAGGCGGCGGCGGGAACGTCTCCGGAAGATGTGGACGTGGGCCTGGTGGCGGAGCTATGGAGGGCGCCGACCACGATGCAGGCCGTGTATGACGACAACGACCCCATCGGCCGTGAGGCGCGGCGCACGGCACGGGCGGCCAGCGAGATGCTCATCGGCTACGCGCGCGCTGTGAACGTGACCCCGCGCGACCTGTGCCACCTGTTCGACATCCGGAATCCGGTCATCATTGAGCGCATGGAGCGTGCAAGCCCCGCGCTGGCTCTCAGCATGGCCCCGCCGCCCAGGCTTTCGACGAGCCCAACCCCGCCGGAGGAGGCCCAGCATCCGCGGGGCCGTGTGCTGCCTGGCTGGATGACCCAGCCGTCCCGCCGTCAGCAGCTTCTTGACGCCGGGGTTGGCGCCGCGATGGGCGGGTACGTGGAGGCGGCCGAGTGGATGCAGGTGTGAGCTGGAATTTCACAACACTTGATCAGGAGTCGAAGATGGGTGTCGGGGAGTTTTGTTGCAGGTGTAGTTTGATGAAATTGTGCACATAACGGGCACATTTGCAGTACAGGGGATGGTTTCTTGATGGGGGTTAATGCTGATGTGGCGGATTATGGTTGGTGCGTCATTGCCTGTCTGTTGTTTCAATCTAAGTTGAACAAAGGTTGTCATTGTTTCCAGGGTGTGTGTTGTTATCGTAAGGATTTTTGTAACACACGCTTGTGACAACTAGTGCCATCCGACACTGTTATATTAGAGACAAAATGTGTGGTTACCATATGCGCGATACATGCACGCGCAAAGCCTGACGAAACCCTCTACGAAACGACGAAATGCGGTTTTAGCTTACAGTCCCCCTTCACAAGGCAACCGGGAGGGGCTGTAACGAGCATCAGGTGTACTCTAGCCAGCCAAGCCAGCCTGTGCTCGAAATTGTTCCTCTGCTGCTAGTGCCTAGTGCTGAAGCATTTGCAGAGAGACACCACCCTGAGTATAGCACCCTGCCTGCTGATCACCCAAGCCAACCAAACTCAAACCCCAACCTTACACAAAAAAACGCGTGGGGGTTTGATGAGCACCCTGTGTCACGCGCGTAAACTGTGAGGTCCCAAATCCACAGATGTGCCAACCTACAGTAATCTTGGACGAGAAGAAGCCTTACGGGGTGTTGGTTGGCTGTGAGGATCTGAGTTAAAGAAACCTGGCAGCTTCTGAGCCAGGTCAAAACATTAATTTTCTACGCATACGTCGTTGACGGAATAACTAATGCGATTGATTCATCCTTCTGTTTTATCTGTCCCTCGAAGTCTCGCAGAAGTAGTAATGTTGCGTTTAGTCATGCTTTGACGACCATCACCTTCGTGCCGCAAACCGCCATTATCTCTGTAGGGCTTAGCTCTTGTACTCACGCGTACCTCACGCGTGAACTTCGCTAATTCCTCAACAAGAATTTGTGATACAAGTATTACGGAACCTCCCAATCCTGGACTGCCAGTCGACGACGCCACGTGTCATGCAACGACTGGCGTGGAGGCGAGGAGTCCCTTGCCAAATCTGCGGTGCGGTTTTTCCGAACCAGAGCGCATCCACCGGCGATGACTAGTACCGTAGCTGCCAGCAACGACAGAAGAACGGCCACTACCAGCGCCTTGGCGTCGCCGAGGTCGCGCGGCGTGCTTTGCGATAAGCGGGAGGCTGTCGCAGCGAGCAGCAGCACGTGCGAGGGCGTCGCGCCTTGCGACACCAGCACGCCCTGCGACATCGCCAGCACGTGTCTTCACACCGTCCGCCGTAGTAACTGCGCCCTGCACGCTTGCGCGGGTCTCGCGAACGACGCTACCACTAGTAATAACAGCGAGTCGCACCCAGGTGGTGAGGATAGTAGTAGCATTGGTGCTGCGGCCGCGGTGGGCGCGCCATGTTCAGTCGCGGCTGACGAGTCTCCCGAAGTCGCTGCCGTCCCGACGCCGCATGTTTTAATTGCGGCGCTAAAGAGCCCCAACGGCCCAACGCATCGCATAGAAGATTCCACGGCCCGGGCAACCCACGACAATCCGACACGGGACGCTGCGAATTGCACAAGTGGTAGTGCAGCGAGTGCAGCGGCTGAGTGTAGCGCTGTTTCTAAGAGACCTAGCAGTCCTCGAAAAGCTATTCTGGATGTGTTGCGCTGGGGCCCACTGCACGGCGAACGGGGAGCTCTAAAACGGGGATGGTCTCGCATCGTTAGCTTCGTGCGGAGAGAAAACCGGCAGGCGCGGGAGCAGAAGGAGTTCGAGTCGAGGAAGAGACAGGAGAAAAGCGCAGCCGCCGTGAGGGGCGGCGGAGAGGCTACTATCACCAGCATTAGAGCCGGCGGGGAGGCTCTTGCGAGCGAGAGTAGCGCCAATTCGCGGTTGACATTCGGCGATTGGGCTTCTGGCGGAGGCGCGACCAGCACCAGCCCTGGCGATCCGAAGGCGCGGCTGGTGCAGGCTTCGCGGAAGCCGGCGGAGAGCAGCGCAGGTTGCAACGGGACGTTGCGGAAGGGCGGGGGGGGCGCGGTATGCGCGGCATTTGTCCCCACGATGATGTGCGTGAATGAAGGGGCGAGGAATGGGGAGCGTGGGACGCGGGATTGGGAGCCAAGTGGGGAGGGGGACGGAGCGGTTGAGTCGGGTACAGGGGGCGGTAATGATGACACGGAGACTTCTCTCAGCTTCCATGTGCGCCGGGACTGGGGCGGGGATGAGCAGGCGGAAGGGGCCGACGAAGGACAGGTGGAGGTGGTAAGCCGCGGGGCGGAAGCGGAGGAGTTGGGCGGGCCGGGGTGGACGCACCTGGCAAGAGCTGCTCTGGAGCCGTGGGAGGTGTGCGAAGGCGTGGGCGCCGTGCGGGCTGTAGACGAGTGCGGCTATAGCGGGGATGGAGTGGGAGGAGAGGGAGGTTGCAGCGATGGTGGGGAGGCCGTGCTGGTGTACGTTCCTCACGTCAACCCGTCACCACAGCCGCCGACAGCACTGCTGGCAGCGGCACTGCAACGCACTGCTGCTCATTGTGGGATTGCAAGCGAGCTTGCAGCAACAGCAGCAGCCACAGCTGGAGGAACATCAACAGCAACAGCAAGAGGGACAGGAACAGCATCAGGAGGCTTAGCAGCAAACGCCACCGCAAGAGCCCCGTTGACTGCACCATCGTCGCCGTCAGCCCTGGTAGCAGCAAGGCGGGCTGTAACTCGAACATACTCGACTGGAAGCTTCCAGTGTCAGGTGTCAGGCTATGTTGCATCGCCTCAGCGGGTGTTCAATCGCCTGCCTGATGACATCTGGCCCAGATTGAATCGCAGTCATGTGAATTGGAGGAGTGGGAGTGTGGGTGGAATTGATAACAGGAGTGAGGGGGGGGGAGCTTGTGGTTGTTGCAATAGTGAGGATGGATGTGAACATGTGGGGGCAGGGAAGGGGGCAGAGATGCGAGAAGCAGCAGATGAGGAGGGGTGCAGAGGACAAAAATGTGTGAGTGCCAGTGATAAGGATGACATCAACGCTGGTGTGGGCGAACAAGGGGATGCGGATGAGAAGCAGTCACAACGGATGCCATCAATGCCGTCGCTGACGATACCAACAATGCCAAGTCCGCGCACTGCGGCTTCTGTCATACGCAATGCTCGGCGCATAACAGCTCCTGCTCTGGCTCACGAGCGAAGCTTTCTAACCGCGACACACGGCAAGGGAACAATCTAGCTTGCAGGTAAATGTATATGGAGTACCTCGTAACCAAGTGAGAAAAGGTGTTCCCTTAGGTAGCACGTAAGAGAAATAATAAATGGTAGGCGCTTCTTGCAGGAGCCATGTAGTGTACTAGTAGCTAGCTAAAGTCCATATATTAGTAATTAAGTTGCTATTATGTATTCTATAATATTTTGCCAACAGTTTTCCTGCTCATATAAGTATATTGATTAATTTGTACATTCTTTTCATGGCTAGTATGTGAAATTTTTGCATTCTATCTACAATGCCAACCTCACTGTATTATCAAAGTTCAGCTTCACTTCAGTGACACGCCTCACATCTTGTTACGAGGACGATCGAATTCTTGCAGGACGGTCGAGCATTGCCTTGCCGTGCACGCCTCACATCTTGTTACGAGTGCAATTGAGTGAACGAACGAGAATTGCACTATCGAAGCAGGAATACAATGAGCGAAGGCATGAGCGAAGAATATATAGCGAAACTACAGTGGTAACGGTAATGCTCTGTGGTTGTCGCGCGACGAGCCTGTGACTGAGGTTGGGAAAGTGTCGAAGCGTAGGCCCGGAGCGCGGGTTACCAGCCGAGCCGTGAGGTCGGGATGCGATGTGCGAAAAAGGCGGGATGATTGTCGATGCGATGATCTCGAGTGGTAACGGTGCTGACTGAGGTGCTACAGTGATGTACGCGTTGAGCAGGGATGAGAAGTAAGGAAAAGGGATTTTCCTTACACATCTCAAGAATGGGGGTCCGACCTCTAACGCAGGTATGCCACTCTGGTGGGATAGCATCTAGGTAGCATAAAAACTACCGCTCGAAGAGGCGACACAATCTAGATGATCCGTAGTTAGGCCGGCTTATCGAATCGTGAAGCCTTGTGTTTCTGACGCACGCCATGGCAGCGCAGTTAGCGCGGCTAGCTAGTCGGAAACGGGTGACGTTGGAAGAGAAGGAGCAGCATCAGTGGGTGGTCGACGAAGCGACGCTTTCGTCAGTCATCGCTAATGGCGAAGATGTCGGACCTATTATTCGCCCGGCATTTGAAATGGGAAAACCTGAAGCGCTTCTTCACCAGGTTAGCGGCGTGCCCTTAGTTAGGTTTTCAACACTTTTTGGTATAGTTATTGTTGGTTGATACCTGATTTTTCTTTCAGGTCGTCTGAATGTTCAACGCCATTCTTACCTCGCCTTGCTCATGCCTCTTGAAAAACGCATTCCTTTTAGTGTCCCTCGTCATCAGTTGCTCGACATCAATGTAAGCCTTAAAGACAACGCCTTGATGCATTAAAAGACAAGCAAGACCTTGACGGTCTTATAGTGGCATTGACACTCTTTAAGATCAGAACCTTCAATACAAGCCCGAGAGACCTTTTTGACGCCTTAAGGAGCAATGTGTCAGGCATTGGGTCATGAGATATGCACATCAGGTGAAACACAGCCTATGCTCAACCTGAATCAAACCCTTTTCACTTCGCTTCCTGGCAGCTTCGCACATTCGTGAAGAAGAAGGAGGTGGAGATCGAGGAGCTTTGCAAGCAGCACTACGAGGAGTTCATCCATGCCGTCGACGAGCTCAGGTGCGATCCACGCCGTTGACGAGCTCAAATGCAATTTGACCCTTGAATTTCTATGTGTATCGCGCTCATAACATAGCCTGGCATTATTATGTTTAGTTTCAAACGCTTTTTTCTAGGTGTAAATCCAAATTGGTAGACTCTGGGACTCTGAGGAAGAAGTAGAAAGTGGTGGAGGGGGAAGCAGGCTGCTGGACGATCTAATTAAACAGCGATTCGTCTCTCTTCTGATTCGCCATCCTCTCTCCGTCCACCCCCTCCTCCCTCCGACCACAGATACGTGCTGGTGGACGCGGACGAGTTGAAGCATGGGCTGGCGATGCAGAACACGGAGATGCAGGAGGTGGGGAGCGGGCTGCTCGTCTCTCTTCTGATCCTGTTCCACCCTCCCCCCTCTCCTTCCACTCCACCCCTCCCCTCTCTCCTTCTACCCCCTCTCTCTCCTTCCACCCTCTCCTCCCCCCCTCCACCCCCTCCTCCCTCCGACCACAGATACGTGCTGGTGGACGCGGACGAGCTGAAGCATGGGCTGGCGATGCAGAACACGGAGATGCAGGAGGTGGGCAGCGGGCTGCTGCACAAGCTGGACGAGCTCATTCAGCACAACGCCATCAAGACCAACCTCGCCTCCGCGCTGCAGCTGCTCAAAAAGTGCAAGACCGTTGTCGACCTCTGCGCCAAGGTAGATCAACGTGGTAATCTATGCAAACTCTCTCAGGTGAACAAGGCAATAGCCACAAACAGCTACTACAAGGCGTTTCCGTCATTAGGGAAGCCAGCTGCCAGAGTAACATGATACAGTCTACTATGCCCTGTTTCCACCTCCTCTCCTCCCCTTATTCACTATCTCAGGTGAACGAGGCAATAGCAGCGGACAGCTACTACCAGGCGCTGAAGACCCTAGACGCTATTGAGCGCGACCACCTGCGCACCATCCCCTCCTCTGCTCTGCGCGCATGGGTAGAGAGGGGTATTCCGCGGTGCAGAGCGCATATCGAGCGCAAGGTAGGGAGGGAGGGGTGAGATTCGAAGGGATTGCAGGGCTGGGTGGGTGGATGGCCTTGGGTTGGGAGGGTGTGTTTGGATGAAGAGGGAATCTTTGTGGGTTGCAACGTGATGTTTCTGTCTTCCCACAGACCCCATCCCCTCCCCCTCCCCATTCTCCCCCATTCTCCCACCTAACCCACGATTTACCCCTCCAGTCCCTGTCTCTGCCTTGCTATGTCCCCTCCTTACGAACACCTTCTCTCCCCTTTCTTTCCGCCCGACCTCCCCTCCTCTCGCCCCTCCCTCTCCACCCCCGTGCCCTCCGCAGGTGAACCAGGAGTTCAACGAGTGGATGGTGCAGATCCGGGAAACGAGTCAGGAGATCGGTCGACAGGCGATAGGGCAGGCGTTCAGCGCGAGGCAGAGGGAAGTGGAGCTTGGGGACAGGCAGAGGCAGGCTGAGGAACAGGTGGGTGCCTCGCAGGTCTTTTAAGGTTGTTGATAGAGTATTGTTGCTCCACTCGATCTCTGTGATTATGAGTTACAGTACTGCTGGTCCCACTCTACTACATGCTGTATTGGTGCACGATACGAGGTGAACCTTCACCTGCTCATGAGGCTCACTAGATCTTTCTGCACCCTGCAGCACCAAAGCTCGTGTAGTATTGATGCTCCACTCTGTTTCCCTTCCCTCCCAATTTCCTCTTCTCTCCGCCACACCACCACCAGACGCGGTCAGGGGCGAGGGCAGTGGCGTACATGTTAGAAGTGGAGGACGCGGAGGAGGATGCGTCGATGCTCAAGTTCAACCTGACGCCCATCTACCGCGCGCACTACATCAACACGTGTCTGGGCATCCAGGACCAGTTCCGCGACTACTACTATGACAACCGCAAGCTGCAGCTCAATACTGATCTGCAGTTCACGCCAGGGCAGGTGGGTGCATGAGTGGGTGTTCGTCTGTGCGTTTGTGTTTATGTGTGTGCGGCTGGGTGGATGGGTGGCTGGAGTGTCTGGGCATCCAGGACCAGTTCCGCGACTACAACTATGACAACCGCAAGCTGCAGCTCAACACATATTTGCAGTTCACGCCAGGGCACAGGCAGCGCGTGGGTGGTTGTGTTCGCCCTTGCTCCCTGCACCTCCCTCCTCACAATACCGCTCCCACTCCAACTCCCATCCCATGCCCCATCCCATCTGCTGCCTGTGGCCCAGTCGTTCAACGACTACTGCTCGCAGGTGGCGGGGTTCTTCATAGTGGAGGACCGCATCATGCGCACTGCTGGTGGGGTCATCAAGCCCGCTCAGGTGGGCAGCACTGGGGAGGAAGGGGGGTGAAGATAATTCAATGGGAGCGCTGTAGGGGAAAGGGGGGGTGGATTCTTTATTGTGGAGGACCGGATCATGCACGCTATGGAGACGAGGACACGAGCGTCAAAAGAGTTGTGAAAGAAGAGTGGAAAAGGGGAGAGTTGGCAGAGGGCTTAATTCGACACGTCCAAGTCGCGCGCGTGGACCAAGTCGCGCGAGGCGCGCACCCGGACCAAGGCGCGCACCCGGACCAAGGCGCGCGCCCGGACCAAGGCGTGCGCGGACCAAGGCGTGCGTGCAAACCAAGGCGCGCGCGCGGACCAAGGCACTCGCCCGGACCAAGGCGCGCGCCCCGGACCAAGGCGCGCGCCCGGACCAAGGCGCGCCCCCGGACCAAGGCGCGCCCCCGGACCAAGGCGCGCGCCCGGACCAAGGCGCGCGCACGGACCAAGGCGCGCGCGCGGACCAAGGCGCGCGCGCGAACCAAGGCGCGCGCGCGGACCAAGGCGCGCGCCCGGACCAAGGCGCGCCCGCGGACCAAGGCGCGCCCGCGGACCAAGGCGTGCGCTCGGACCAAGGCGCGCGCCCGGACCAAGGCGGTGCCTGGACCAAGGCGTGCGCCTGGACCAAGGCGCGCGCCCGGACCACGGGGCGCATGCGGACCACGGCGCACGCGCGGACCCAGGTGCGCGCGGACCTAGGGGCGCACGGTGTGATGGAAAAGTTTTGAGATGTCTGATATCTTGTTGTTTCCACTTTCCACCTGTCACCACCCGTCACCACCTATTACTCCTGCAGGTGGACGTGCTGTGGGAGACGGCCATAGCGCGCATGCGCAGTGTGATGGAGGAGCAGTTCGCGTCCATGTCCTCTGCCGACCACATGCTCATGGTCAAGGAAGACGTATCCCTCTTCGCCGCCGCGCTCCGGCGCTACGGCTTCCAGGTGAGTCAGTAATGACCCTAGGAAGAACAGGCTTCCAGGTCAGTCAGAGGGCAGTTGGTGTCCATGTCATCAGCCGACCGCATGCTCATGGTCAAGGAGGACGTATCCCTCTTCGCCGCCGCGCTCCGACGATTTGGTTTCCAGGTGAGTCAGTAAAGGCCCTGCCTATAGCAGGCTTCCAGGTCAGTCAGCGGGCAGTAACCATGTCATCAGCTGACCACATGCTCATGGTCAAAGAGGACGTCACGCTCTTCACTGCTGTGCTGCACCGATACGGCTTTCAGGTCAGTCGGTAAAAGCCCTGGGAAAAGGCGGCTTCCACTCACCCACCTCAACTTGCACTTGGAATAGTCCTGTTTTCACCCTTTTCCTCCCAGGTGCCCCTCCCAACAGAATCTATCTCCCTGTGCTGTTTGTTTGCCTTGAATTCTCCCCTTTTCATCTGTACTCGTTACAGGTGTCTCCACTACTGGACGTGCTGGCGTCCATGAGAGACAAGTACCACGAGCTGCTGCTGGAGGAGGCGCGGCGGCAGGTGAACGACTCGATTGCCAACGACAAGCTGGAGCAGATGGTGATGCGCAAGGAGTATGAGTACAGCATGAACGTCCTCGCCTTCCATATCCAGGTGGGTTCATGTTCCTGCGTGTGTCTGCATGTGTCTGTGAGAGTGTGCTGGATGCGCATGTGTGAGCTGTGCTGCACATGCACGAGTGAGTGACAAGCTGGAGCAGATGGTGATGTGCAAGGAGTATGAGTACAGCATGAACGTGCTCGCCTTCCACATCCAGGTATGTGTGTTTGTGGCTCTGTGTGTCTGTGTGTGCGTTTTTGAACGTGGGGGCTCGTACATTCACAGCACATGAGCCCTTTCCATGGTGACAAGCTGGAGCAAATGGTGATGCGCAAGGAGTATGAGTACAGCATGAACGTGCACGCCTTCCACAATCAAGAATCTTCCCTTCTGCTCGAATGAATCCTGCTCTGCACATGCATGGTGACAAGCTGGAGCAAATGGTGATGCGCAAGGAGTATGAGTACAGCATGAACGTGCACGCCTTCCACAATCAAGAATCTTCCCTTCTGCTCGAATGAATCCTGCTCTGCACATGCATGTGACACGTTCCCCACTTCCCACACTTCCCCGGGCCTCACAGAACATGCACATCATGTCATGCCTCTACACACATCCATGCTCTCTCTGGGCCTCTTTTTTCTGTGTCCTTAACTTCCATTTGGCTCCTCCAATGTTCCCCCAACCTCCCTCTCCCCCCAATGCTCCCCTCCAGAGCACGGACATCATGCCCGCGTTCCCCTGGATCGCGCCCTTCTCAGCATCAGGTGTTACCTCGACCGCCTCCTCACCACTCTCATCAACCAGGCTCTCATCAACCAGGCTCTCATCAACCAGGCTCTCATCAACCAGGCTCTCCCTGCTCCCCTCCCTCTGCTTCCCCTTTGTCTTCCCCTCCCTCCAACCCACACCCCCCCTCCGTCATCGATCTTCCCCACCAGAGCACGGACATCATGCCCGCGTTCCCCTGGATCGCGCCCTTCTCAGCGTCGGTCCCCGAGATCTGCCGCATAGTGCGCATCTTCATCGACAGCTCCGTCTCCTTCCTCAAGCACACGGGCCACATGGACCAGTACGACCTCGTGCGGCGCTACCTCGATCGCCTGCTCACCACGGTGGTGAATGAAGCGCTGCTGCGGCTCATTGGGAACCCCACACTGCAAGTCTCTCATGCTATGCAGGTGAGTGGGCCGTGGGCCTAGTGTGTTATGAGTCGACTCATAACACTCGCCAGTGACTCATAGCACACGGGCCACATGAACCAGTACGACCTCGTGCGGCGCTACCTTGACCGCCTGCTCACCACGGTGGTGAACGAGGTGCTGCTGCACTTGATTGGCATCCCCACGCTGCAAGTGTCTCGCGCCATGCAGGTGAGAGCTGGCATGTTGTATGTTCGAGTCGACTCAGAACACACCAGTGAAGTGACTCATAGCACACACGGGCTACATGGACCAGTACGACCTCGTGCAACGCTACCTCGATCGCCTGCTCACCACGGTGGTGAACGAGGCGCTGCTGAGGCTGATTGGGATGGGAACCCCAGCTGGCCTGTTGTGTTCTTACTCGTGTTTCGAGCCGATACCGGTACGATCTCGCCCACCGATACCTGGATCGCCCGCTCACTACTGTTGTGAACGACGTGCTTCTGCAGTTGACTGGTAAACCCACACTGCAAGTGTCTCACAGACTCACGCCATGCAGGTGGGAGCGGGCCTGTTGTGTGTTCGAGTCGTGTTTCGAGTCGACTCATAACTCACACCGGTGTGACTCTGATGCATCAGCTTCTCCATCCTCCCCGCACATGGCATTCAAGCCCCTCCACTCTTGCTGTCCCTCTCCCCTCTTCTCCCCCACTCAACCCTCCACCCTCCACCGTCCACCCTCCTCCCTCCACCCTCCTCCCTCCACCCTCCACCCTCCACCCTCTTCACTCCACCCTCCACCCTCCTCCCTCCACCCTCCTCCCTCCACCCTCCACCCTCCACCCTCATGTTCGCCACACCATCAGGTAGCAGCGAACATGACAGTGATCGGGCATGTGCATTCTTCGCATAGCACGCAGCCAAGTCCTGCGGCATTCCCTCTCGCTTCGTGGACGGCCCGCATGGCACGCTGGCCGCCAGGAGCCTCTCATGCCGTCTCTCAGCCTCTTTCCCTTCATTGTCCCTTTTGCAACCATCAGGTAGCGACAAAGATTTCCCTCCCTCCCTCTCTCGCTGTCTCTCTCCCCTCTTCAACCCCCCGTCTCCCCGCTTCCCTACTCGTCCCACCCTTGCCACAGGTAGCGGCGAACATGACAGTGATGGAGCGGGCATGTGCATTCTTCGCAGAGCACGCAGCCAAGTCGTGCGGCATCCCATCCCGCCTCGTGGACGGTGCACACGGCACACTGGCCGCCAGGAACACCCTCAGGCAGTCGCAGGCGGGGGCATATGATGCCATGCTGCGCATCATGAATGAGAAGATCGATGACATGATGGCGCCTGCAGAGCAGATCCCGTGGAATCCCATGGAACCGCCTGGGGTACGTATGTGTGAACTCGGCCCGCTTAATTTCACTCTCTTCTGTTTTCTGGTGCGAAGGGAAGCGCCACTCAAACCTGAGACGAGGCATTTGGGTGGGCTCCGTACTGTTACGGTGCCTGAGTGCAGTTCTGATTTTTGGCAGAGCTGTGTCTGCTCTCCATCCCTCCCTTGTTCCAATCCCTTCCATCCCTGCATGATTGAGAGTGAAGGATCTTAGCTGCTGAGAGCCACTTCACAAATTCGTTCACATACCTGGAGCGCGTGATTGATGCAATTCCTACACCAGCATGGTTCCCACCATCCTTTCTCATCACCTCCTTTCCCCCTCGTCTTCCCCTCTATTCCCTCCCAACGCCTGTCCTTCTTCTCTCTTCTGGTTTCTCCCTTCTCTCCTGTTGGGCCGTGTCGTTGCATGTGAGAGCAGCTGGTGAACGAGTATCTGACGGACCTCTGCATCTACCTGGAGACCATGATGGAGACGGCCAGGCAGCTGCTTCCCTTCAATGTCTCGTCGTTGTCCTCGTCCCTTATCTTTCTTTCTTCTCTTATCGACTGGGCCCCCTGTTGTGTTGCATGTGAGAGCAGCTAGTGAACGAGTATCTTACGGACCTCTGCATCTACCTGGAGACCATGATGGAGACGGCCAGACAGCTGCTTCCTCTCGATGCCTTCCAGCGGGTAAGTTGCTTTTCACTTACAGCACTCCTGAACTGCCTGCCATTGCTTGCTGCTGCAGATTCGGTTTGCTTCCAGTCAGCTGCATGCTTTTCCTTTCCATTACCGAATGCCACGTACCTTTCATTGCCCACTGTCCACACCTGTCGCAGGTGAGTGGAGGAATGATGCGCCACATCAGCAACGTGCTCGTCAGCCTGCTGTGTGGCTCTGCCGTGCCGCGGTTCAACCTGTACGCCATCCAGGGAGTGGACAATGACCTGCGTGTCATTGAGGGGTTTGCCGACCAGGAGGATGAGAAGAGCGGCGTCATGAAGGACAATGGCGAGGCTGTGCCTCTTAAGTCGCACCTTGCGGAGTCACGGCAGCTCATCAACCTCATTCTCAGCAACAACCCCGAGCATTATGCGACCAAGTCGCACCGGGAGAAGAATTATGGGGCTCTGGCGCCGACTAAAGTGCTCATCGTCTGCGATAAGTATCGGGTACGTATACACTTGCTAATGAAACCTGGTACGGCTAAATTCCTACAATTTTTATCCTGTTTGTGTAAATTCAAAATGGAGGCGCCGGCTTACACTTCTGCTGTTCTATGTGATTGACAGGATGTCGGGGAGGCTGCGGTTGGTTTGTTTGGCACGCGTAATTCGAAGCAGGTGAACAAGAAAAAGGGACTAGATGCTCTGGCGCGGAGGCTAAGGGAGGATATTGCCAATTCAGCTTGAGTATTATAAGGTTAGGTTGTGTTATATGTGGTTGCAAAACACTGTGTAGAGATCGTGAGTAGCGTTAATGATGTAACTGAGGGCTAATTCCCACGCAGGGACACCATCTGAAGTAGGGACACCATCCGAAGTAGGGACACCATCCGAAGTAGGGACACCATCCGAAGTAGGGACACCATCAGAAGTAGGGACACCATCCGAAGTAGGGACACCATCCGAAGTAGGGACACCATCCGAAGTAGGGACACCATCCGAAGTAGGGACACCATCCGAAGTTGGGACACCATCCGAAGTAGGGACACCATCCGAAGTAGGGACACCATCCGAAGTAGGGACACCATCCGAAGTAGGGACACCTTGAGGGGTTGCCTTTTTTGTTTTTGTTTGAAGGTCTAATTTTAGGGATACCTCTTAATTTGAAAGGCTGGATAATCTAGAACCCTACCCTGCGTAGAGGAAGCTAGTTTAGATGCGTTTGGTCAGTTGTGCTGAAACAACTCACTGACATGTGTGGCGTGGAGTGTACTGAGAACGTAGATAATTTCGCGTGTCTTTTTCAGCAGTGCAATTTTCGTAGCTTGGTTTTCTGGGTCAGGCGTACAGCAAAAAAATACGTTGAACATGTCCAGAGTTCGGATGGTGTCCGTGCCTAGGAATTCGCTCCGAATAAGGAGGTGGTACATTGCGCGCTGGTCCATTTACAGGGAAATGGACCAGGTTAGACAAGGGAGCACCTTTTTCAGGGACCACTTGCGAAAGTGGTCCCTGCCTGCTACCCGCGTGGTCCCAGGCACCATTTGCAGCCGATCCCTAGAGAACAGTGTTTTACATTTTCGCAAAAGCAAGGAGGACGAAAACCAGGTCGCACCCAGTCACACGCGAACTACATTTCGCGACAGCTCGAATCGCGAAATGGGTCGACATTTTGTTTTCGCGAGTGCCTGGGCCGCGAATTGGGGTCGACTGCTGGAAGTGGTCCCCCAAATCCTGCACGTGCACCGACCACTGTACATGCTGGTCCGTGGGGGGAGCAGCCTGGGTCACCTCCTGGGCCGTGTGCTGGTCCATACAGCTGGTCCTCGCTGGTCCGCGCTGGTCCGTGCTGGTCCGTGCTGGTCCGTGCAAATCCCCTGGGTCGCAGTGGCCCAGCGCGGCCCAGAGTAGTTTTGCCGTTCATGGCACAACCTCCTAACTCAAAACCACCGCTCAAATCCACCCGCCCTAGCAAATGCAAGGCAGATGCTACATACTGTACTGTTCCAAGTCGTACAGGTTCAGAAGTGGGATAATGGCGTTGGTTTCGTTGCAGTAAGGAATTTGAATTTCGGCGGGAAGTCTCGACACAAGGAACTTGGTCGCACGCGTGGTTACGTGCGATTGTCTACACTGTACACCTGCTAGCACACGTTCAGTGGTGTTGTGTGGACCTACATTAGCCGGAGACTGGCTACCTACAGTTCACGCAGCATTGATCGCGGAGAATACAGTGCCATATTTCATCTGTCTGCTATTGTTCCTCTGTATGTACATTGAGAGAAAAAAAAAAACAAGAAATGATATTTCTTTGGAACGTGGTGCGGAACGCCACGGCAAACCCGGTGCACCGGGTTTCGAAGCTTCCACTGGGTTATGGCAGTGCAGAGTGCGCAAAAACTCGACGTCGAGCAGCGTCGGTGAATTTCCACCCTCGGATCAAAGGTTCCAACCGTCAAAATTCACCGACGTTCCTCGACTTCGAGTTTGTGCAGCACTTTGTACACGCCCTAGAAGGAGCTTCACGCTCTCGATGTGAATTTGTCAACAGGCAGCAGAGGTTCTTGGGCAGGATCTTGCTGGCATTGTGAATGGGCTGAACTTGCCAACAAACCCACTGTGTGCAACTGTACGAACTTAGACAACACTGTTATCGTCCACACTGTTATCGACGATTCCAGAATTTGGCACTAGGCATGCCATCAGTCAAAGACCGCCCCACCGTCCTCATCGACGCCCCCACACAGCCGCCATTCTTATATACACCCTCATTCTCAGTCTTCTCACCGGCGGAAGCAGTGGCTACAGTGTTTGGACGTAGCGGGCTGGTGAGATAACTCGGTTGCGGGCCAAGTCGCACGAGGCGACGAAACCAGACTTGGGCCGTAAAATTCCATTAACGCTGAATAGCTGTTTTTACCGTTTAGAAAACAGCATTACCATTTAAGAACGTATAGAACCTTGACTTAACGCCCAGGGTCGAACTGTCAGTATAACGCATGTGATAGGACCTTCTTTGGTCCGCTGCGGCTACACTAAGCGTCACGGCAGTATAACATATGCCAGTCTAACGAGAATGAGGGTGTACCACACCACAGAGAGACAGATGACAGATGTTCGCCCGCCCAGCTGTCTAAAATGGTCGTCGGCTCAACAAGCTGGTGTGACCAATAGGAGAAATCGTGTCGTGTCAGAAACAAAAGCAGAAAGTATCAACCAGCCCTTCACGGCACGGAGCAGCCCGTTGCTCGGGTCGCGAGGATTTTAGAGGTTGGGTGAATTGGAAAAGGCAGAAGCGGTTTTCGTGCTTTACCAAATGAAAACACTTTAAAACGAATCCCACCGTACATGCTCTCCTCGTTTCTTCCAAAGGCTGCGTCAGTCTCCAAGGCCATCGTCAATCCCCGTTGCGCTCTTTTTTCCCGCGCAGTGGTTTTGAAAATGTGATGGAAATTCTAAGTGCCCCAAGCCACTCCCAACAAGCAATCTCGAGGTGGCCACTGGACTTTCTCGGCCCAAGATCCACCGCCTGCCAGCCAAACTCCATTCGGCGTGTCCGATCCGATGATGATGAGTGGATTTCAGTGAGCACCCTCGAGGTCCTACTCATTTCAAAGCCACGCTTGGATCAGCAGGGCCAGCCAGAGGGAGACTCACTGTGCATCCTGACCGTTGCTGTCGCAACTGCTAATCCTCGGTGTAAATCTATTGGCCTTGCTTTGGTCTGTGAGCAGTAAATCTCGACTGCTTCCAACCCTCATTCCAGAATGGCGGTTTCACCTGCGTATACTCCGTGCTCACTTGCTCGCCATCCTCGTGTAGTTGACTATGCAGTTTCCTGACCAAGCGGGGGGGTTTCGCGTCTAATTCTAGCGTCCAACCAAAATGGCGTTATTTTCTCTCACCCTCGCGACTGAATTCAGCGCATAGTCAGGCGAGACTTGGAATGGACGCTCCGCATCCCATTGGTGCTGCTCCTTGTTCGAACCAGCGATTCTTACTCCGTAACTCCCGCTTGTACCAACGATTCTCATTGCACTCACTTCAGACTATTCCTACGTGTAGAACAACCCGCCGTGTTATAGTTAGCTCGTCGTGTTTTAGTTCAGCCTAATTAGAGAGCTTAAAACGTTCTTCGCACAACACTGCACTGGAAATAGCTGGCTGTAGGAAGACTACTTAGTGGAAAGCTTAGCGCTTTGTAAAAGGGGGAATACGGAGCCCGGCGGCATAAAGGAGCGTGATGGAAGCTCTTCAGAAGCTGCAGGTAGGACTCTCGTTTCAACTGCTGTAAAAAAAAAAAGAATTGCTGTTAAATAAAAATCGGGATCAGCTTTCTAACGGACGTCCCTGATCCAATCGATTGGAAATGGAGGAGTCGCTTCGTCCGATTTTAGCCATGGATTAGTGCATGACCGTCATGAGATGGCCGTCAGAGTGATCCCAGTAACATTTAGATGCAAACTTAAGGGTCTGTTAAAGAGACCCGTTTCTTGTCGGTGCGTTGGCGTTACTTCAACTGCCCATGACAACAAGTTCAATCCTTTGTTTTCTTGCCCTTGCTCATCCCTCGAACTCCTCTCAACAGGGTATCTTTGCCCGGCGGCATCACTTTGGTGGAGAGTCGTCGCACGATCGCCAGCGAAGACGAAGTCTGCGACGAACGGCGAGCGATTGTCGCAACGCTCCTGATTGTTCCATCCCCCCAATTCCCCCTAACGAGTTCTCTGCTGCTGCTGCTACTACTAACCTCGAATCCACGACGGTCACGCCTCCCCCCGCTAATAGCACCAGCACAACGTTAGAGATGCTCGCTAGAGTTGCCTTGGGATCGCCGATTCGTAAAGGGTTTCGCCGAGAGCGTGTGTCTCGATCAGAGCGTGCGATCCCTGTTATTCGTCCGCAATCGGCGCCAGCTTCCCCGGCGAGGGGTCACACCGTCACTTGCCGCGGTCCGTTTACTAGTCACCGCGTGAAGGAGCAGCACCAGCAGCAGCACCACCACCAACAGCAGCAGCAGCAGGAGCAGCAGGAGCAAACCTCCCACCGTCCAGTTTCCCCGTTTTCCGGACGATCTTGCCCGTCGCGATGTTCCCAAAGCTTTCCGCCCACCTGCGGAATCGGAAGCCCGCGGACTCCGCGCTACCGCCGATACCTGTGCGGTGTGCCGTGCGTCGACGACGTGGACTGGGACCGGGATGTTATGTTCCCGGACGATGATGACGTGGCTGATGACAGGGACGGGCGAGATCAGACGAGTAACACAGACGGTGGCGAAAATCGTGCTCTTTTCGCGGAAGTGACACGGCGGGCGCTAGGGGCCGAAAACAGTCTAGGAGACGAAAAAGCGGCTGAAGGAGGGCGAAACGCAATATCATTAGGAACGGAAAGCGCTTTTGCGGAGCGGAACGCACAGACAAGTCCAGACAGGTCGGATATACCGATGCTACACAGAAACGATGTTTCTTTTAGAGGAGCCGAAGCGCCTAGAGAGGCTATTCATGGTTCGCTGAGGCGGCGCGAGGGGCGAGCGACGCGGGGAGCAAGGAGGGCGCGGAGCCTTCCGCCGAACTGCAGCAGCCTGCTTGCGGAGGAGGAAGGGGACTCCGCGGAGTCCGCGCGGGCGGCGGAAATCATCGCCGCAGGGGGATTGGCGCGAAGGGGGGAAGGCGGAGGAGCAGCCAGCGGGATCAGTCCGCGCACTTGCCGGTCGCAGAGTCCGCGTGGGAGGCGGAAAGGTGGAAGGTCTGGCGGCGGCTATGCGACGAATTTCGGCGACGAAAACGACTCCTCTGCGACTGTGGGACGAAGCTGGTGGACGACCGATGGCGCCCCCGCGGCGGATGCGGCGTCAATCACGGCGAGCGACGCGGACAGCGGCGTGTCTTCCGTGCGTCTTCGCAATCAACACGACGGCGCGAGATCTCCGTGGGAAGGTGGCGCGGGGCGTGCGCTAGTGGACGTGGAACGTCGGCAATCGCGGAGTTTGGACGGCAGCGGACGGCTGCGCGATGCGGCGGCCGGCAGGACGGCAGGCGGAGACGGCAACTCCGGTTGGTCGGCAGCATTTGCGAGACGGCCGCCGGCGGCTGTAGCTACTGTAGAATCCGAAGCGGCGCTTCAGGAGAGAGCGGCGGCGACGAGAGCGGAGAAGGGCGCAACTGGCGGGGCCGGCGCAATTGCGCGGGAGGGCGCAAGCGCGGGGAACGTCGCAAGTGCGGGGAACGGCGCAAGTGCGATAACAAGAGATGCGGGCGCGGACGTGTCGGGTGACGTGGCAGCAAGTGTGCAAGCGGAGCGAGCTGAAGAGGAAGGGCGGACAGAGCAGGCGGGCAACGCGGAATGCGGCGAGGGAGGGGAAGGCGGTGGCGGAGAGCACGCAGCGGAGCCCCGCTGGAGAGATGTCAGACAGGGAATAGGGGGGTGCGGAAAGGTGTTAGGCGCAAGGGGGCTTGAGGGGAACACTTTGTGTGGCGGAGGATCGAGGGCGCCGAGAGATTGGGAGGCGAGCGAGACATGCAGTATGGTGGAACTTTGGAACCCGTTTTATAACGACGATGTTATTAGCATCAAATGCAGCAGCAGCAGCAGCAGTGGCAGTGATTCGGGTGCGGGTAGTGGTGACGATAATGAGAGGAAGGGGAGGGGCAAGAGGGAGAAGAGGGGTAAGAGAGGGAAGAGGGGAAGGAAGGCACGCAGTGGTAATGCTGCTGCTGCTACTGGTGATGGTGCTGTTGCTGCAGCAGCTGCTGAGCAGCCTGAAGCCCAACCGCATGCGGCATCACAGGACTACTTCCCATTCGACGGGTTCTTCCAACCCCGATTCGACCAGCTCTCCTCCACCGACTCGTCCTGCTCCCCTGACCTCGTGTTCTCCTTCCATCCCCCCCACCCCACCGCACACTCCCTCCCCTGCTCACCCCTCGATCCCTCCTCTCTCCTGGACTGCACGCCGTCCCTCGGTGCTCCTCCGCCCTTCCTCACTCTCTCGTCGGAGGAAAGAGGGAGTGGTGGTGAGGGTGAGGGGATAACAGGGGGCCTGTCCGCTATAGAGGAGGGTACGGAGGGCTCTGAGGCGGGTGCAGCTGCATCTGGTGCTACAGTTGCTGCGGATACTGGTAACTCTGCTGTAACTCGCAGCACCCTTGCTGCTACTGCTGCTGCACGGGAAGATGAAGGCGCTGCTGCTGCTGCTGCTGCCGGAAGCGGCAGCGACAGTGACTCGTTTTTTAGCGACCCATTTCACCGAGGAGTGAGGCTGGACGATGTGCTCCGGCAATGGGACCTGAGCGCGGCTATTCATGACGACGCGCAGAGTAATGAAAATGAACCAAGTAAGGTTGCAGCCATGTGCACAGGCACAGCTACTGGAACCAATCAAGACGAGCCCGTTGGGTCCGGTATGACTGTTGCCAAGAGCGGCCCTTCCACTGACTCTCCTGCTCGCCTCCCCAAGCCCTCCCCTTCGCCGGCTATCAATACCAAGACAAACAACCCCAGCAACATGCCGCCTGCTGCCACGATCGCTACCACCAGCACCGGCACTACCACTGCCACCACCACTGCCGCCACCACCACCACCACTAGCATCAACCCGCGCCGTCGCCTCACCTCAACTGTGATCCGGGGAGCCAATCATAAGCACTCCCACTCCCAACCGCCTTACTCCTCCTCTCCCTCCTCCACTGTTATCGACTCCTCCCTGTCACCCGCTGCCACCCCTCCCCGGACCATCCTCGGCCGATCCGCATCACTGGGCTCGGCCGGAGGTTCGGCGCGGCTGGGAGTAAGAGGAGGGGTGAGCACAGCTGATGCTGTTGCTGCGGCTGCTGCTGCTGCAGTTGCTGCTGCTTCTGCTGCGGCTGCGGTTTTGGGTGGTGGGGGCAGTATGACGAATAACCTTGGGACCTCTGCTGCTGCGATTGGGATGGCTGCTGTTGATTCTGCAGGCCATTTGAGCACCAGTTGTAACGCAATCAGTGGTGGTCGAAGTGCTATTGAAGTTGCATATGCAGAGTCAGTGGCAGCAGTGGCTGGAGAGACAGCAGGGAATGCTGACTGTAACAGCATTACCGGAAGTATCAGCAGCAGTGCCAGCAGCAGCAGCACCATTGGTGGGAACAGTGTGAGCAACGGCAGCGGCATCAACGTTCACACTGGCAGCAGAAGCGTTGGCGGCAGCATTCTTGGGGAGTTGCGGGAGTGCAGAAGCAGTGGGCTGATTCGGGTGCTGCTGGCACAGAGTGCGACCAGGAAAGGTGGGGAAGGCATGCGTCAGATTGAAAATAGAGGCAGCGTGCTACAAGATGTGCAGGAGCAGCAGCAACTGCAGCCGCAGCAGGAGAAGCAGCAGATCCAGAAGGAGCAGAAGGACGGACGGCAGGAAAGGCTAGCGGACGTGGAGATAGTCAAGCCTGCTGCCAAGAACATGCAGAAGAAGACAGAAAAGGAGCTGCCTAGGAAACGCCGCCGGAATGGGGAGCGAGAAGAAGAGGAAAAGGTGAAGGGCGCGAGGAGGCGCAGGAAGGAGTTTATGCGCCCCCTGGGAGTGAAGAGGAAGGGTGTGAGGGTGGTGGTAGGGCCCCGACGGCTGGAGCTGCTCAAGAAATGGCTATTGGATGTTATTGCAGATGCACAGGGGAAAACTGCAGTGGTGCTGGGAGGAGCTATGGGGTAAAGTGAGGATTCATTGCTGTAGTTAATAGATAGGGTCTCTTGACTTGTCACTAATCCACTACGGCGTTTTGCATAACATGACCCTTAATTCTTACAATCTTTTAACCTTGCTCCATAAATGCCTATTGCTCAGGAATGGGCATTGGAAAAGACACGTTACGGGAAAGGTTCGTGCGACATTCGACGACACCAAGTGGCATTCAGCTGAAGCGATTTTCGCCACGCGAGTCGTTGATGCGAAGAGCACATCTACAGGCTGCGACTTACTCTCTGTGAAGTTGGTGCCGAATCTTTCTGTCGTCCGTCCTTCGTGAAGCTCGCTGACGGTTCCGCGATGTCTGTCGTAAGCTCCCTTCTGTTCGTGGTCTGTGTCATCGCAATTCTTGTTGCGTCGGCATCCTCAGAGATCGTGCGACGACCGATTGTGCTCGCGAGCCAATCCATCGACACTCGCTTGCTGGTCTGCGACTTTGGGAACAGAGAGCTGTGGTAAGCAAAGTGCCTTTGCTGAGAATTGCAAATTGGTGAAATCCAAGAATTGACCATCAAAACAGCAGCCAGCTTGCTCCACTCTCACTGGAATATCCAAGACCGCCATTGACGTTTTTGCCTTGTGTTTCCCAACATCAGTTTACATGGAATATCGAAGACCGCTTTGCTCGAATTTTCCGGTTGCGACGATGACGAACCAGAATCGTCCGTTGGGGATGCAACTTCACGTTCTCCAGAACGCCATCGGAACAGAGTCAGGGAGGACGGGGACCGGAAACCACTCCGTTCGACTGAGTTCGTCCGTGCTCTCCGCGCAGTGCACGTTCTCGTTCAGTTCACCGACGAAGACTCCCAGAGTAGCAGAGAAGGTATCAGAGAGCGGCTTTTTAAAGACGTGCATGCAGTCGGCGGGCGGGTCCTGAACTACGTACCAGTCGACTCGTATCTGGTTCTGCTTCCCTGTGTTAAGGCGGCTCGCTCGCTTAGTCGGCTCTCCTACGTGTCATGGATCGGTCGTCTACAGGGAGAGTCGAAGCTAGCACCTGAATGGGGTCCGATTTTACGGTCAGTCACTGCTTCATTCCATTGTTTCTTACCTTCGCTCTCTAATTCAGACTTCGCAATTAAGTGTCGATTGCTGTTGTTATCATATGCTGTCTTTCCGTCGTCGCTTTTTTGTGAAACGTTGGGGTGCTGAATCAGGCTATTTCCCTTTTCAGGCACTACAAAACCGCGGATGACATCAAGGAGGAAAGCTCTATTTATGACATGATCGATGTGGACAAACAAGGCCGACCACTTATCACAGTCGTGCTGCCGGATCAAGGCCCGGTCAGCAACTCCAAAGCATACGCATCCTTCATCCACAGCAGCCTGTGTGAAAAGTTCGACCACTTGCAGCAACCAATCATCGGATCAGATTCAGTTGGTCTACCAGATCCGACGGTTTCAAGCTCCGCAGTGAACCAGTCGTCAGATAGTACCCCTGCTGGAGCAATGCAACATGTCAATCGACCGAAGAATCTGGATGATCCGCGCACCCAGCTTCTGGAGACATCTGACAGTTTGTATTGCTCTACCTTCGGTGTGTCGCTCGAAGAAATGAGCACCACCATTCACGACTCAAGTCATGATGATGTAAGCTCATCAGCAGCAGACAGCATACCGCATAGCACCACATCTGATACCACGCAGAGGCATCATCATCATCATCAGCATGACGTCACCAGTCAAGGCCTGCTGGTGCTGGCGGCGCCAAATCCCCTCCTGCCTGCCGTGCTGCGCTGGCTGCAGCAGCAGGGGTGGGTGCAGTGGGTCGCCCCTCGGCCCCGCTCTCGCCTGCACAACCGGTGGGCCTCTGCTGTCACTCAAAGCGGCTCTTCTGTTAGCCTAGACGATGACCCAGGGTTTAGATCCCCAGGGTCAGGCAGCGGAGGAGATGGTAGTGAGCAGCAGAGGAGTGAGTTTGGGGTGGCACGGCCCCTTTGGAGTGCTGGAATCACGGGGGTCGGGCAGATCGTGGGAATTGGTGACAGCGGCATTGACATGCAGAGGTGGGAGTGTAGCAGAGTCCTACTCTTTCGCTGACCTTTCTGTTTTTGCGCCGTTCCTGCTCTACGCCATGTACTTCTCCGTGTCATTGCAAGTTCTGCCTTTCTTGCCTTCTCCGTTGCCTCACCCACACTGAATCCACACTTTCACTCAGGCTCATCTCTTTTTCTCTCCTGAGCCCCTCACCCTTCCAGCTGCTTCTTCCGGGACGAGGACGTCCCTCTACCGGGCGCCAATCACCGCAAGGTGGTGCAGTACCGGGTGGTCAACGGAGACGCTGTGGACGAACTTCCAAGGATCTTGAACGACCTTTTTCCCTCTCCTTCACTCCTCTCCTCACCCTTCCAGCTGCTTCTTCCAAGACGAAGCAGTGCCCCTATCAGGCCCCATGCACCGCAAGGTGGTGCAGTACCGGGTGGTCAACGGGGACACGGTGGACGAGGTGGGGCACGGCACCCACGTGGCCGGCTCTGCTTTCACTCACGCTAGCCTCCCTTCCTCTCACGTGCCCCTCGCCCCTTCTAGTTTTGAGGCGCTCGTGGTTACCCGCCAGCTTTTCTCCACCCCTTCTTCAAATCAGCTGCTCGCTGGAATGTCTTCGAATCAGCTTTCACTCACGCTAGCCTCCCTTCCTCTCACGTGCCCCTCGCCCCTGCAGCTGCTTCTTCCGGGACGATGCCGTCCCTCTGCCAGGCCCGAATCACCGCAAGGTGGTGCAGTACCGGGTGGTGAACGGCGACACAGTGGACGAGCTGGGGCACGGCACCCACGTGGCCGGCTCCGTGGCAGGGGCCTGCTCGCAGAAACAGCAAGCACAGCAACCGCAGCAGGGGCAGCAGGGGGCGAAGGGGCCAGAGAACGTGGATCTGTACCCTGGCATGGCGCCTGATGCACGCATTGCCTTCACTGACATGGGCGAGGGCGATGTGGGTTACATCATGCCGCCTGGTGACCTGGGCAGTGGGTACTATGGGTGAGTGAAACTCTGCTGAGGTTCATGTGTTGCTCGGGTGATTGGTCGATGTGTCATCATCCGCCATAGAATGTGATAAGTCCTCCTCTAGGCTTAGCTGTTGCGGTCCAATTTTGCCTCACTCTGCTCAGCTTCCCGGTGGTGTAACTGTGGGTGCAGGCAGGCAATGAAGGCGGGGGCGTTGATCCACTCGGACTCGTGGGCGTCAGGAGTGTTTGCATATGACTACATGGCGCAGTCAGTCGACCGCTTCACCTTCAACAACCCTGTGAGCTCCCAGAACTATCTGTGCCTCTTAACATGCTGCAATCAGCAACAGGCAGGCAGCCTGTGGAAAGATGTCATCCCTAAGTCCTTACTCATCCAAGCCACAACACATCCATGCCTCTAACCATGCTGTTCCTGTTCCCCTGATCCGTGCTCTCTCTCTCCCTCTCTCTGTCCCGTGGCAGAACTTCCTCCCAGTAGTCGCGGCAGGCAACATGGGCGCTGTGCACCGAGACGCAGGTGCGTGTGTGGTTCTTATACTCGTCACACCCTCCCCACCCACCACCGCTACCCCAGTCTCCATCTCGTCACCTGCCTCACAGTGGGGGCGACCCTCTCCGTCTCACCCTTCCGATTATGAATATCTCCTTCGTAAACCAAGCCACCTACACTCCCAACCCCTACCTTTCCCCCTCTCCCCCAGTCTCCATCTCATCGCCTGCTCTCGCCAAGAACTGTCTCACAGTAGGCGCAACCCTCGGCAGTGTCGGCTCCGCCCCGCCCCTCCTCGCCACGCCCTTCAACCTCTCCCTCCTCGCGCCCTCCCCCTCCCTCCTCCCCTCCGACCGCGCCTGGTACCCTCTCCTCTCACACGCCTTTGGCGCCACCTTCCAGTCGGGCCTATGGGAGGTGGGGGTGCCATGGGGGCTGGTGAGGGGCGAGCCAAGGGATGGGTGCAGAGCAGTGCGGGGCGGTAGTGGGAGCGCGGGAGGGAGTGTGGCTGGGTTGATTGTGCTGCTTGATGCGGGAAACTGCCTCTTTGCGGATAAGGTGGGTGCCACTCTGCTGCCGTTCTTTCCTCTGACAACACAGTCACGCTGCTGGTTTTCAAGTTCTTCTGTGCTATTTTCTTGTTCTAATCTGTGTTTTGCGTCAGAACTAGGGCATTGCGTCAGAACAATGCCGTTCCGTTTCCCATTGCCACACTCACTCACACTCTCAGTCAACGCCAGGCTGTTTCAGCAATTTGTTTCCTCTTGCTTCGCCCACATCATGGCGCTGCTAAAGCATTTCACATAAGGCCTTGCAGTTCAAAGTCGTCCCAGCAGCAGCCGTCACGTGTATGGCCAATTCAGTACAGCTCATCCCTCCTTCACATAAAATCTACTGCGTTTGTTTCTCCTTACAACGTGCCACACTCACCATTTCAGTTCAGGAACGCGCAGGCAGCAGGTGCAGCAGCAGCAGTGATTGTGGCTAATGACACGCTCGGCTACTTCCCCATGGCTGCTCCCTTTGGCGCTGACCCCAGCATCACCATCCCAGGTGCGATCTCACACCATCTCTCACACCACCTCCCACACCACCCAAAAACTGCTTCTTCTCTTTCTCACTCTGCGCTCCACCCAGCAGCATCGCACCCAACCCCTACGTGGCCAAGCCATTCAGTGCATCTCCATTCACCTGCAAGATTTCTTTCAGTAGCACTTCTGTTGTCCTCAACCTCGTCTCACAATCCTTTGTGCCATCTGTGCTGTTTCGCTCCCCCATGGCTGTGCCAGGTGGTTCTGTGCCACAAGCTGTGGGCGCCATTATAGATGCGGCTCTCAGGAGGGGCCAGCCTGTGCAGGTGCGTGCTTCTTGCTTTCTCATGCCTTCACCTGCCTTCACGTGCCTTCACCTGCCTTCACCTGCATTCACATGCCTTCACCTGCATTCACATGCCTTCACCTGCCTTCACCTGCCTTCACCTGCCTTCACCTGCCTTCACCTGCCTTCACCTGCCTTCACCTGCCTTCACCTGCCTTCACATGCCTTCACCATTCCCCCCCAACAGGTGTCCATCTCGCCCCTGGCAGTGTCGCTCGCCTTCCGCCCCGATAGCATGGCGCGCTTCTCCTCATGGGGTCCCACGCCTGATGGCCGCATTAAGCCTGACATCTCTGCTCCAGGTAATGAGGCTGGTACTGCTTATGTTCGGTCCCTCAATGCAAGATATTCTGTTCTTGGGCCCTGCAAAACTGAAGATTGGTTGCTCTCTCCCGGTGCTTGTGTGTATCTCACTACTCCCTGTGCTTCTCATGCACAATTCTTTGATTGATTCGCCCCTTCCTTGTCGTATCCCTTTCCTCCCTTTGCTTGTCTCACTCCTTCCTTGTCATCGCCTTTCTTTGTGCGTTGACACTTGGCAGGGGAGGGCATATGGTCAGCAAAGAGCAACCGCAACCTTCGCCAGCCATCGTGCTCTGTTACACGTGAGTGCTGCAGTCAGCCCCTCAGATGCCCTTCACATGTCCCTCAGGTGCCCCGCATGTAACCGTCAGGTGCTATGCCCATCAGCCGCCGCTCTGCTCCACTCTGCTCCGCTCTGCTCCCCTCTGCTCCCCTCTGCTCCGCTCTGCTCTGCTCTGCTCCCCTCTGCTCCCCTCTGCTCCCCTCTGCTCCCCTTTGCTCCGCTCTGCTCAACTCTGCTCCGCTCTGCTCTACTCTGCTCTTGTCAACCATTCTTCCCCGCTATCCAGAGATGTCAGGCATCTCAATGGCCACACCCATCACTGCTTGCTCGGCTGCTACTGTTGTGAATGCTCTCGAATGGTCCTTGCGCCCCCCTCTTCTCTTCTTCTCCTCTTCCCCCTCATCCAGAGATGTCAGGCACCTCAATGGCCACGCCCATCACTGCTGGCTCGGCTGCTCTGCTCAGGCAATACTTCATGGACGGCTTCTACCCCACTGGCCAAAGGGTAACCCTATGCATTACCCCTTCTGTTTCTACCATGCTGCGATTTTCTTCCGTTATCTCATCACCACTTTTGTGCTGTTGCATTCCAATAGGTTCCAGCCAATGGATTCGTGCCAAGTGGCATGCTGCTCAAGGCTACGTTGATAAATGGCGCCATGCCTCTCACCGTTGCAAATGGTGAGCTTGAAAACAAGGCAAGAACTTGTCAATTCTCTCTGCTTTGCTCTCTGTCCATTGCTCTTTGCCCGTTGCTCCCATCACTTTGCCTTCTGTGCTTCCTGCCCTCCCATTGCTGCCCGCTTTTGCTGTTCCGATGCCTTCTTCAGTTTGTATCAGTTCTCCCCAGGCCCCAACAGGTGCCTCTTGCATGCACCACAGCTTCGCCTTTTAAGATGGCTCAATGAATAGTCATGTTCCCTGATCTCCACCCACCAGGTGACCGTTACCCTATAGACGCACCACCCTCCATGAACCAGGGCTTTGGCCGTGTGCACCTGGGCAATGCTGTGCCTATAGCGGGTACAGCAACCTTCACTACAGTGGCAATCGAGGGACCTGCTCTGAAGACCGGTAACGGCTACCGTGTTTGCTTGCTGGTTGATCCTGGGAGGAGTGATGGTGGAACAGGGAGCGAGGATGTCAAGATCACACTCACCTGGTTAGTGTTCCGTTTAGTCTTTTTCTAGACTCTCGCTGAACCACTCCATTTCACACTCACCAAATATTTTTTCGCTTCCTTGGTCCCATTCTCTCCAGGTACGACGCACCGGCAGCACTGGTGGCGAATCAGAACGCGGCGACACCGCTGCTGGTGAACAACCTGGACCTCTCAGTCACCTCCCCCACCGGTCACACCTTCTTCGGGAATGGGGGGCTGGCGCCTGACGCCCGTAACACTGTGGAGCAGGTAGGACCTCTGAGAACAACCTGCTGGTGCTGCTGGTGCTGCTGGGGATTATGGTGGTTATGGTGCCAGTGGTACTGCTGGTGAACAACCTGGACCTCGCTGTCACCTCCCCCACCGGTCACACCTTCTTTGGGAATGGGGGGCTCGCCCTGATGTCCGCAACACTGTTGATGTCCGCAACACTGTTGATGTCCGCAACACTGTTCATGTCCGCAACACTGTTCATGTCCGCAACACTGTTGATGTCCGCAAGGTCTGAAAACCGCAACACTGTACTTGCGGTTTTCAGGCGGCTCAAAGGTCTTTTGGGGCATCGCAGAAGAAATCATTGAGTAGGTATCTTTCTGTCCTTGCCCTGATGTCACCCATCTGCCCCCATGCCACCCCTCTGCCACCATGCCACCCGTCTGCCCTCATACCCGCACCGTATGTGCCCACATGTGCCTCCAGGTGCACATCACAGCGCCACAGCATGGAGTATACACGGTGGATGTGAGGGCAGTGCAGGTCAACATGCCCATGCCAGGGAAGGCACCTGACAGCCCTCCAAACAACCTTTAAGCATGCGCTCATGCTCTCATGCCCCCCATGTGCCTGCATGTGCCCCCAGGTGCACATCACAGCACCGCAACTTGGAGTGTACACGGTGGACGTGAGGGCAGTGCAGGTCAACATGCCCATGCCAGGCACGGCACCTGACAGCCTTCCAGACACCGCTTCAGACTCCTCACCAGACAACCCCTCAGGCAGCCCCACAAGCAGGGTATTCAGCAGGACTCCTGGCAGCAGGACGCCTAGGGGGTCCCCTAGCAGTCCCCCCAGCAGCCCTCCTAGCAGCAGGGAGGGTGGGCAGCGCTTTGCTGTGGCTGCCAGAGGCCCCATCACCCAAGTCGACTGCCTCTGTGAGCCCTCCTCGCCCCTTCTCGCACCTCCCTGCCCCCCCTTGCCCTTACTCACCCCTCCCTAAGCCCTCCTTGCTTCTCCCGGCTCCTCCTTACCCCTCCTTACCCCTCCTTCACCCCGCCACACCCTATCATCCTGATACTCTCTCCCTTGTTCCCCTACCTAACCTATTTGTCTGGCCCTTTCTGACAGGCACGGCACCCGTTTCCCGCTCTCCAATCCCTTCTTTCTCAACTCTCATTCCCCTGCCTATCTTTCCCTTTTTCGCTCCCTTCCCCGCACCCCCGCCTCCCCCCCAATCCAGATGTGCAAGCGGACCCCCCGCCCCCGCCCCTATCTAGCAACCCCTTCCTCTCCATTCCGCTCCTCTTCCCCGCCAGCTCCGCCACCACTGTCCTCTGCGGTCTCACTCGGGTCACCACCATTACCAGCAGCAGTGGCGGCAGCAGCAGCGGCGACGGCAGCAGCAGCAGCGGCGGCGGCAGCAGCAGCAACGCTATGGCATCAGCAGCAGTTACCAGCACGGACAGGCAGATTGATGTTGATCCATCTGGGGGGTCTGCAGTGGTGGAGGATGAATGGGTTGGCGGATGGGGGTTTCAGGATGCAGAGGCACCGAGTGAAGAAGCAGAGGGTGGGGCGTTGGGCAGTGTGGGAAGAGGAGAAGGAGTGGCAGACGAATGGGCAGAGCAAGGGGCAGACGCAGGGTCGGCAGGGGAAGCAGGAGAAGCAGGAGAGGAAGGAGGAGCAGGGGTAGCAGCATTGGGAGGCACAGGGGAAGAAGAGAGCCGTGTGGTGGTGCTGCCATGGGGGCCGTGCACCTCCCCTGTCACCTTCCCATCCCTCGATAGCGGCACCTACGTCTTCTCAGCTCAGCTCCTAGACACCTCCTACACTAACACCCTCATCAGCCCTCTTTACAGGACCACCTTTGCTATCGATCTTGATGCACCCACCACCACACTTTCCTCTGCTTATACCCCTGCTACTACCACAACCGCTTCTTTCACCTTCACCTCTCCTTCTGCTGACGTCAGCCACTTCCAATGCCAGCTCAGCGCCTCGTCGCTCTCGCCTCCCCCCGCCGACCCCATCACCCCGCAGCCAATCACGTTCCGCCAAACAACCAGCATCCCCACCCGCCTGCTCGAGTGGCTGTTTCCCCCCTCTGTAGTCACACGGAGCGAGCAACTTCCTGCCACAAGCCCAGGAGGACAAACCCCTCGTTTAGATCTCGCACAGGGGACCACCACTAGGGATAACTGGATTAACTGCACCAGCCCTGTGACTTACTCTGGCTTCTATGACGGTCGCTATGCCTTCTCTGTGAGGGCTGTGGATCAGGCTGGGAATGCAGATCCCGCCCCCCCTATAGTCACATGGGCGCTCGATACTCTCCTGCCGAAAGCAGTGATTCTAGAAGCGCCGGCGGTGTATTCGAACCTAGGGAGCGTTCGGTTCGCCTTTGGGCTTGATGGGGAGGTGGGCTCTGGGCAGGCAGCGGCCTCACAGATGGGTTTTGAGGCGCTAGAGGCATTGCTAGTGGTGGATCCGAACCAGGAAGGTGCTCCATTCACTCATGAATCACAACTACAAGAGTCACCCGAATCAACAGAATCACAGCCACTGCAGTCACAAGAGCCACCAGACTTACAAGAGTCACGAGGGCCAGCGGAGTGGAGCTGCAGACTGCAGGCATGGAGTGGTGCCACGTCCCCGCCTCCCCTCTTTGACTGGCGCAGCTGCAGCAGCCCCTTCCAGGTGGGGCAGGATGGCAGCAGCAACAGTAGTGACGATAGTGACAGCACCAACAGCAACAACACCAGCAGTGGCAGCAGCAGTGGCAGCAGCAGCAGTGCTAACAGCAGCAGCAGCGGGTGGTATCTCTCTGCACCACTTCCAGACGGCGCGTACCTCTTCAGTGTGCGTGCCACGTCAGCATGGAACCGACACGGCCTCAACAACGCGTCAGCCAGAGCAGCTTTCACCATCGACAGCACTCGTCCACGTGCGCTGCTGCTCTCCCAACCCCCTAGCATCCTCAGTCAGCCCCAACCTGTCTTCTCCTTCTTCGCCCCCAAAATGGTTACCTTCAGCTGCCGACTCACCGCCTCTCCTCCCATCCCACCCGCTAACCCCTTCCTGTCATCTCCTTCTGTCACCTCCTCGCTCTCTCCTGCCTCCTTTCCCTCTTCTTCCTCCTCTTCCTCTTCTTCTTCCCCTTCCTCGTCTTCCTCCTCCTCTTCCTCCTCCCCTTCCTCTCCTCCCCTCTCCTCCACCATTCCCCTCTCGCCATGTGTCAGCCCCGTGCGCTACAACCTGCCAGATGGCACGTACACGTGGCAGCTGTCTGCCATTGATTGGGCGGGGAACGAAGCAGAACCAGTGCTGCTAGATTTCACAGTAGACACCTCACCCCCAACAGCGCAAATCTTATCTCTCTTCGTCATACCTGACTCCACTCCTCTCAACACCTCCAACTCCACTCCTCCCAACTCATCCTTCCAGCTACCCAACTCACTCCCCTCCGCTACCTTACTCGCCACCTACATAGGTTCAGACGGCCAGTCGGGCTCCGGAATTTCGGTATTCCTCTGCCACGTGGCACTGGCTGATTCGCCAGAGCCTCCAATCTTATCTCCAGGAGCCTGGGCGCCGTGCACCAGTCCGTTGAAAGCACCTGGGCTTTCACCTGGGCAGTACATATTGATGGTTGCGGCGAGAGACAGAGGCGGTATTGTCAGCACCAGACCTGCTATGAGCAGTTTCACTGTGGAGGCACCTGTGGTGGTGACAGGTCTCCAGGAAGAAGGAGGAGAAGGAAGCAGCGAAGTCGATTCTCCTGATACCGGCACCGATGGTGGTAGAACCGTCTCACAGACTGCTGCTGCTGCTGCTGCTGCTGCTGCTGCTGATGATGATGATGATGATGATGATGATGATGATGATGCTCGTGGTGTGTCATTCGTCGCACCCCTTCCACCCGCATACAGCAGCAACAGCTCTGCCACGGTCCACTTCATCACTGTACACAGTAACGGAACGTCCTCAAACGAGGACACACTGAATCAGCAGCCAACAGCTCCTTGTGAATGTGTCCTGCTTTCCACGCCCCTCCTCTCCTCCGCCACTTATAATCAGTCCATGCCCTCCCAGTCTCCTCCCCCACCACCCCTCCTCGCATGGCCCTGCAGCAGTCCCATCGTGCTGCCCTCTCTCCCTGACGGCCAAAACCAGCTCTGGGTGCGGCTGGTGGGGGAGCAACGCAGTGGAGGGACGTGGGCAGCGTTCTCCTGGACCGTTGGTGAGTGCCCTGGCATGCCGATTTTTCTCCCTGCTTTGACTCTCCGTGCCCTTGTCTCTTTCTCTACACTTTTACCTCTGCCCCAGCCCTGCATGCCCCTTGCTCCCCTACCGACTTCCATTGCTCCCATCATCGGCCTCCTCTGCTTGCTTGACCCTCTTCTTTCCTCACTTGACCCCCCCGGCTGCTTGTCCTCCTGCCTGATTCTGTAACACCGTATCTCACCCTTCTAGAGTCACTCCTCGGATTGTTTCTTTTTGCTTTTGCGACCTTATGCCTCTGCTTTTGCCATCCCTTCATGCATCCTTCCCTCCTACCTCCCGTCCCGTCCTCCTCCACCAGACACCACCCCACCCTCCACGTCCATCTCGTGGGCCAATGGCAGCGTGCCAGGTGTCGTCTCCTCACTGAGCCCCACAATGCAGGTGTTTGGGAGGGAGGAGGAGGGAGGGAGTGGGGTGGTGCGCCTTGAGTGTAAACTGGAGGCGATGATGGGAGGAGGGGGAGCAGGAGCAGGAGGAGAAGGAGGTGTAGAGGAGAGAGGAGGCACCAATGGAGGCATTCCCACTTGGCAGCCTTGCATTGGCTCGATCCCCCTCGTGCAAGACATGCCACCGACCAATCACAGCACAGACAGCTCCACGGTCCTGCCACTGCCACAGCCCCCATCTCAACTCACAATAGACATCACCCTCGCCTCACTCCTCCCGTCCCTGTCATTCCCCACTCAATCGCCTCTTTTGAATCCCCCTCTCGGTGCATCTCTCTGTGCTGCTCTCCCGGATGGTGTCTATGCGCTCAGCGTTCGGGCAGTGGATGCAGCAGGGAATGCAGACCCAAACCCGCCCTCGGTGCAGTTTGTTGTTAGTGCGTGGGCGATATCCCTGGCTGGGGTGGAAAGCAGAGAGGAGGGAGGGGGTGAAGGGGGGAGTGAGGGAGTGGAGAGTGGTGTTAATGGTCATCCTGGCAGTGGCGGCAGTGCAGTTCATCCTGATACCACTGCAGGCACATACACTCCGTCCCGCCCTCTCTCAGCCTCTTTTCCCACTGTTGCCATTGCATGTGACGGCCGCTGCGCTGCCATGCTGCCGGCCCCATTTGCCTGGGAGCATGCTCAACAAGGCAGAAGCCTGACCACCGGCATGACCCAGTCCAGCTCACCATCAGCAGCACCATCCCCATCCCCGTTCCCATCCCAATCCCCATCACCATCCCCATCACACTTCCCGTCGTCCCTCCCTTCACCGCCACCTGCGTCCACCACTCTAGAGTCCCTTATGGCGCCCAGTGCTGCCAGCAGTGGTAGCCTCAAGGTGCTGGTGGCTAGGGGAGGAGAGGTGAGGAGCGGAGAAGCAGAAGAGGTCACTGGAGAAGAATGGAGAAGGGGGCAAGAAGGCGTGAGGGGAGAAGAGCTGAAAGGACAATCCGTGGATGGAGGTGTAGCAGCGGCGCCGAGTCCAGCAGCAGCAGTGGAAGGCACGCCTCTGGTCTTCAACGTGCTCTCTGACGTCGTATCCTTCACCTTCCCTCCTGCTCCACCTCCTCAGCCCGAATCTCACCCTCCTGCTGCGGGCACGAGAGTGGGGCCTGCGTCCCTGTCCGCCCCCCGGTCCCGTCTTGCCCTTGCATCGCCTCTGCTTATGATCGGATTCACCCTCCCAGACCCCTGTGACCCTAGCAACGACAACACTCCATGTGCTGATATGCAAGCGCTGAAGGCTGAACCTGAATCAACAGTGACCCCTCAGGCAGGAGCTCTAGCACCCACGGCAGCCCCGGTAGCAGCAGCAACACCCATTCCACCAGCAGCATCAGCAGCAGCAGCAGCAGCAGTAGTGGTTGTGCAGGGCTTGTCGCTGCAGGAGGTTCTTTCCTCTGCCATCAATGCATCCCTCCCTGCATCTCCTGCCATCACCATACTCTTCCACCCTCACACCACGCCCACACTGCCACCACCTCCATCACCATCAGCACCACCACCACCACCACCATCACCACCGTCATCACCATCCTCATCCCTCCAGCCACATGGCAAACCCCCAGTGGACGGCTGGCAGCTGCTGGACGCGCGTCTGCTGTGGCAGCAGCAGCACCCCAGCGTTGCCACCTTCTCTGCCCCGCGCCCTGGACTCTACGCGGTGGCTGTGCAAGAAACCAGTGAGTGCGCCAACCTGATGACTTCCCTTCACCATCTCAATATCATTCTCTGCCCCTTCTCCTGGTCTCTTCCTCAGCTCTTACTCTCTGTTCCGCTTTTCATCAGACCAGTTCCACCTCCTTGGAATGAAAATGGCAAGCATTTCTGGGGCATCTCCATTCCACCAGGCCTCGCATCCCTTCCCACGTGACATCCTAAATCCGATCATGCTCTCCTCCCCCCGTTGCTGTGCCTCTGTGTGCGTCTGGCCGGCCTGCTTTGGACTGGAGTGTGTGTGGCTGGTTCAGGCAATCAAGACCCCTCAAGCACCCTCAGCAGCGCCCCTCCAGCCACAGAATTAAGCTCTCCCGCTGCATCCAGCAAGGCGTGGGTGATAGCGCTAGCAGTCTCACTCGGCGTCGGTGCTCTCGTGGTTGCGGTGGGGTTGGCGGTGGTTTCTGTTCGGGTTAGAGGCCATGCCAAGGTTTCACCGCACCTGCGCAAGTGACTTTTGAGTCGACTCATGAGCTGACTTTTGAGTCGACTCATGAGTTGAATTTTGAGTCGACTCAAAAGTCACCTTGTTCGGGTTAGAGGCCGTGCCAAGGTTTCACCGCACCTGCGCAAGTGAGAAGGGGCTCTGGTGCGCGCCTTGGCTGTTGGGAGTTCTGGAACAAAACCACGTGTGCTGTTCCATTACAAGTATACTTCGTTATTTAGGTACTGGTTTCTGTCAACGAGGCAGCTTCTGCTGCCTTACCCTTCAATAAGAGCAGCTGTGCCTTGTGCACTGCCATCCCATGGGATGAATGGCATGGCATGGCATTCTTGCAAGGGCCATAGGTGGCATGGCAAGAGGAGTGTCCTTTTGAGCTTGCTTGCTGAGGTGCACCGTTTGGGGTTCTTAAGGACAATGATTGGCTGTGTGCCTGAACATCCCCTATGTGTTCATATGGATTTCACTGGAATGCTTTAAGATACCATGGAATAACATATAGTTGAGTCAATAATGAGTATTGCAACTAGACACTAAACACGTGTACTACACTTGGGGTGAACAATGTGCATTGCATTTCATTCTACCGAAAGTGCTGCTCCAGGCAGCTCAGCATGTTCTCACTTTTTCACCTTCATGATCTGATCCGAACAAGATTTGAACGAAAGCACCAAGAAAGCTGTCTGAAATTGAATCATGCCTCCTCTCCTCCAGCCTCACCAATGCAATGCAGCCTGCTCCATGCTCCCTGCTGCGGGTACTATTCTCTTCCTGACCAAAAACACATAAATGACAAAGAGAGGGCTTGGGTTGTACCAGCTCACAAGAGAGGGTAAGAGCCGATTACATGTAGAGTTTGATGGGAGAGACTGCATGATGGGAATAATGGATACAGGAAAGAGTTTGAGTGAGATATAGAAAAAGAGGGATATATTTTATCTTACCAGTGTACACCTTGCCCTGTGAGAGCGTGCTACACGTTGCTATCCACCCCAACCTCCACTTGCTCCCTCTCTGCTTGATCCTCCTCCTTCCGTTTCTTCTCCTTCTTATCCTTCTTCTCCTTCTTCTCCTTCTTCCCCTTCTTGCCTCTCTTCCGATCCTCTGCCTCCTCACTCCCTTTCGCTTCTTCGCTGCTATCCCCCCCCACACCCGAATCTCCCACATTGCCCCTCTCCCCTGCGTCTTCCTTCCTTATCCCCTCCTCACTCTCTTTCTCACCTCCCCCTTCTCTCTCCACCTTCCCAGTAACTTCCCCCATCGCCTCCCCACTAACCTCCGTCGCCCCCTCTCCCGTCTCCTTTCTAGAAGCCTCCGCCACCCCCTCCCCCATCTCCTCCCCACGAACCTCCACCACCCCCTCCCCCATCTCTTCCCCACGAACCTCTGCCACCCCCTCCCCTATCTCCTCCCCACGAACCTCCGCCACCCTCTCCCCCAACTTCTCTCCTACACTCACCTTCCCCCCTTCCTCCTCCCCAACCACGAATTCCCCGGCCTCGGGCTCAGGTTCGGGAATGTCCACCACCACCACCCCACCCTCCTTAACCAACTCCTCATGAATAGCCAATAGCCGCTCAGCAACCCTTTTCATAGCGGGGCGTTTCTTAGCGGGGAAAAGCTGACAGTCCAGCCCAACCTGTAACACTCTCCGAATGACGTCAGCAGGGTAGGCGGTGCCGAGCCGCGGATCCACTATACTCCCTATGCCGGTGTCTCCTCCCGACCTAAGGCGCTTCGAGACCCACGTGCCTAGGTCCAGCTTCGCGGTAGCTTCGCCAGGCTCGTTCTCAATCACGGCTGGGCGGCCGGTGAAGATCTGCAGGAGGATAACGCCAAACGCGTACACGTCATTGGGCGGCGACGATTTCCTAGTTATGTTGAAACTGGGGTCGATGTAACCACTGGTTGCGAGCGTCGGCGCGTGTGGTAACCCGCCCAGCATGCTCGCGCCGCCAGTGATGTCTCGGGACATCAAAACTTTCATCCGCCCGATGTTGCCCACCTTGGGAACGCCGTTCGTGTCGAAAAAAATGTTTTTCGGATGCAACCCCTCTAGTAAATACGGCCTAGGGAACTCCGTGTGCAGGTACGCGACCGCCTCGGCAATATCAACGGCGATCAGCAGCCTGTGCAGGAAATCGAACGGTATTCCTTCCTCCTCGCCCTCCGCGACAACCCCGAGGTCCATGAGCGCGCGAGCGTTTCGCGAACCCCTTCTCCACATCGTAATTTTCTCTTTCCACACGTCGGTGTTCCCGAAAATCATCGACTCCAAACTCGGACCGCCCACGAACTCGTATATAAGCACCCTCTCGCCGCACTCGAAACAGTAACCCAGCAGTTGAATCACATTCTGATGGCATAGTACCGCCATAGACTTCGCGCTGAAGATGAAATCCGCTTCTAGCTCCGCATAAGCCGCCAGGTTTGCCGGGCGAAACGTCAGCATGGGGCCATCCCCGCCCCCTTGCCGCCAAACGGATCTCTTAACCGCCCACTGCGCTCCGTTGGGCCCCGCGCCTCGGTAAACCTCGGACGTGCTTCCTTTTCCGATAAAGTTCTGCTTACTGAAGTTCCTTGTAGCGCGAGTTAACTGTAGCAGGTCGAACTGCTGAAACGACATGCTCCGCTGCTGCGCGGCTCTCTTCCGCGCCATGTCTTTAAACCCCGGCGACCGCAGCACCTTGCGCCAAAACTTTGCGCCAGCGTGCGGAGATTTCAGCGCCAGTTGCGGAGCGCCGACGTCGGGCGGAATGGTAATCGCCGTCACGCCAGCGGCGACGTAAGGCGCGGCGGAGTTATAGCCGCTGCCGTACTTGACGCCGAGGCTGTTCGATGGAGTCGCCTTCGCGCCGCCATCCGCGTCATCTGTCGCGACGACCCGTCGATGGCGCTTCCAGGGGCAGCAGCAGCCGCCGCAGCAGAACACGTTGTAGCAGCCTTTGCAGCAGCCTTTGGAAGACTTGAAGCAGCGGCAGCAAATGCAGAGCAGCGCAATGAGGATGAGCGCAGCGACCACGCCTGCTACGACAAGTGCCCATAAGGGTATCTCTTTCCCGGCAATCTCCATCTTTCCGCGCCTTCTTGTTGACTCTGCGCGGGCCGCCGACGCTAACCTTTGGTAGAAGAATCGGCCTTTTCTAAACCTTTGCTATCAATACGCTGACTAGTAGAACTAATGCCGCTGACCGGCCAAGCTAGAAAATTGCGTAAAAATCAGTCGATTCTGAGACCGAGAGCACGAGGTTGAAGTGAGAGACAGCACGCTAAGGCTAAATTCAAGGCTTCCAGGGAGACAAAGCGCGTCTGGAAACCACAACAAAAAAAATAAAAGGAAAAAACGGTATGTGCGGGTGCGTGGGTCAGTGAGTAACGGATTGAGCTTTCGCATCATTCATGCGCTTTATAGGATTTCCGGAACTATGCGACTCCATGATAATGGAAGTGCAGGACTTGGCTGAAAGTAAGCAAACGTGATGCTACTCGTTTTGCCTTGAGAACGCAGCAGACAATACTGTTCGGCCACCCTTGTCGAGCAACCTAGTTCAGTCAATTTTGCGCTACTGTTGTTCTAAGTGGTTGTGACGAGGACTTGTGGAGAGGGTGGAATGCTTGCGAGGCAAGGCAACGAATGCTCGTCTCGTCATGGTGAAGTCAAAAGAGTGTCGCACAATTATTGAGGATTGTCTGAGACGAATTGCCGAGTCGCAAATGTCTTCTTGGAGTGCGGCTCGATGAACGTCGCTACGTCGCGTTCTTTGTTGTGGAGCAGTTGACTTCGGGTCCGCGTAATTATTGGCGGCCTTGCAGCAACAACTCCGTTACAGATTATTACAGATGACGTACGAACTAAATATAGATATGACAGTAATTCACTGTTCGTCACATAGAGATGATTCCAACACTGCTTGTCCTTGTTGCGAGAATGGACTGTGCTCATAACACTGGTACATGATTTACTCAAGTCAAAATTGGTGAGCTCTTGCTCCAAACTCCCCCATTGCAGCGTAAAACATCTCAAGCATCAACAACGATAGGCATCAACAACGATCCAAGCTCCAATTCCCGCCATCTTGTACAGTCACGTCACATAGTCACGTCATGACTCAACTCCGCCCAAATCGCACAGTGAGCACAGCATGGTCAGAAATGGTGTAGTCTTCCGGCCACACGCCCTCCTCCATGGCCCTTGGGAACAGGGTTGCTTGCAGCACGTCCAGATTCAATGCACCTTGCAGCTGCATGCTCCCTCCCTCCCTTCCACTGCTCCCTCGCATCGTTCCACTACCCAGCTGCTCCTTCACCCTCCCCTCGGTCGTCCCTCCCACTCTTCCCTCTGTTTTCCCACCTTCCCCCATTGAGTGAATCTGAAGAGCAACTGCCTTGCTAAAAGAACATCCTTTACAGTCACCTCGGAGAGCTGTACACCCAGATAGGCCCATTTTCCTCCGCAATCTCTTACACTCTGCCTCTATTTGCCGCTCCTCCTGCTGCTCCTGCTGCTGCTGCTGCTGGTTCTGGTGATGCTGCTGCTGCTCCTGCTGCTGCTGAAATGACTGTTTTCTTGCTGAGGCAGCAACAGCATGAGAAAAGGCAAGAGGATCGGCCGAAGCTGTGATAGGGTCGGACATGCCGGACCTAAAGAGCGGGAGATGGCTAAAGAGGTGCAGATGAGGAAGCTGCATGGAAGGTTCCGCCAATGGGAATAAGCAGCGGGAGTGCGTGGGTGGTGAAGAGGAGGAGGTGAGAGAGGAGGATGGGGAGGAGCAAGTCATGACAGGGAGGGAGTGAGTGCGAGTGCGAGGGAGCGAGTGAAGGAGGGGGGAACGGAAGAGGAGTGAGGGGGGAGATGCACACAAGGGTGGTGATGATGGGAAAGGGGAGAAATGGGAGGATGGGGACAGGGGCTGTGATGGTTGTGGGGAAGGGTGGAACTGGAGAGAACCAGAGGCGAGGCTGCTGCTGATGTCACTCGAGGAACTGCTGATGTCAGCTGATGCAATGTTGATGTCACTCGAGGCACTGCTGATGTCAGAGGCGGTTCTGTGAACGTCAGCAGCACCCGCTGCAGTTGAGTCAGCAGGTGGTGGAAGTGAGTTGACAGAACATGACGTGGCAAGAGAGTGTCTGAGAGCAGCCACGGTGTCATCCCACGTGGGCTGGTCAAAGAGAGCCTGGTGGAAAATTAAAGGGAGGGGATAAGGAAAGGGTGGATACGCATAGGGGATGAGTAAGGGAGGATGAGGAAGCGGGAATGGAGACCGCTTGGGTGCAGGAAGCACGGCATAGCCTACAGAGGCAGATGTTTGACTATGAACAGGAGTGCACTGAAGTCAATATAAGTCAACTGGAGTGGTCAAGAGTGATCAAGAAGAGTACACCCAGGGATCAGTTGGTCCACCTTGAAGTCTTCAAAGTCAACGCAGCCCTTCCCCTGGCAGTCAGCGGACCGCATCAGCTCCTCCACCTCTATGCGCGTCAGTCCAATGGAGTCAACGCCAGTCAACCCCAGTCGGTCCAGACTCCTCTGAAAATCGGCCATACTGAAAGCAGCAGCCGCCTGTTCCCCTGCAGCCCGCCCCTCTGCCGCGCCCCCTTCACCCGCCCGCAGGAAAAAGTCAAAGGCTGCTTCAGCATTGGTGATGCCGGTCGAAGCGAGCTTGGACCTAATAAGGCCGAAAACCGCCGTCCGCCAGTTGACTGCAAGCGTTCGTTGGTGCTGCTCTGGGTTGAGCACCCACACATAGTCCACCCCGCACAGATTGCCGTGGTGGTTGCGGTGACTCACCCACTGGGGAAGGAGAGCGAGGGAGAGCGCGAGAGAGGAGAGAGAGATGGGCACAGAGATAAGTTGATCGTGAGTGTCTGGCTGGGTTTCTCTGGGTTGAGCACCCACACATAGTCCACCCTGCTAGATTGCCGTGGTGGTTGCCGTGACTCACCAACTGAGGGAAAGCGGGACAAAAAGGGGAAGGGGAGGAAGAGGCTGGAGGAAGGAGGAGATGTGGGAGGGAGTGAGAGAGAGAGAGGAGAGGTACCGTGCAATGAGCAAGCAAGGCATGCAACTGATGGAAAGAGAACCTGCGTTGCAAGCAGTACCTGCTCCACTGGTACCTGCTCCACTGGTACTGCTCTATTGCTGCACTACCTGCTCGTCGTCATCGCTGTGGTGGTGTGCCGAGTCAAAGGAGGAGACAAAGCCGTGCGCCCTGAGAAGCTTGTACACGTTGCCTTGCTTCGTGCCGTTCAGGTCCCTGCGTTGTTGTCACACAGCCGTACAGTCACACAGGCATCACGCAGAGTGAGAGAAGCAAAGGCAGGAGAAGCGGCAGAGGCAGAGGCTGAGAAAATAGCAGAGATAAAGACTGAGATAGAGGCAATAACAAGGGCGAAAATTCACCCGCAGAGTACGACGGGCAGTGCCCCGGCGTGGTGCTCCTCTCTGTACCCATCAATGCGCTCCAGGAGCTTGTATACCTGATGCACACATGAGCACAGACGCACACACGCACACACACACATACGCACACACAATCTTTGAGACGTCTCAAAAGACCAGGAGCTTGAATACCTGTTGCAGATGCACACACGCGCGCACACACACACACACACACACACACACACTCACGCACACACGCACAGATGATGTACACATGATGCATACAGACACACATACACAGAGTGTTGAGTTGACTTGAGTCAAACGTAAAATCCTCGGAGTAAGACAGATAGAGCTTGCATCACCTGGCACACACCTGGCACACACCTGGCAGAGGCGCACGATGCTGGAGTTAGCGTCGTGTGGGAAGAGCAAGTGCGTGTTCGCCACCACCACCTCCTCGCCTTCCCCCGTTATCTCCTCCTCGCCTTCTGCTCTTCTCTCCTCCTCCGCTCCTCCCTTCCTGCTTCCTCCTCGCCTTGCTCGGAGTCGGACAATCTGTGCCACCCGGTCGCCACAGTCGTTGAAGCACAGCGGATGGTGGTCTACCACCTCCCACTCAGATGCTCTCACTGCCATCATGAGGCCTGGGGAATGAGATGGGTAGAGAAAAAGAAGGGAGGAAATCTTTGCTCGAAGCACAGCGGATGGTGGTCTACCACCGCCCATTCCTATGCCCTCACTGCCATCATGAGGCCTGGAGATGCGGGGAAACGAAGGGGGGACAACTGAGGGAGGGATCACAGCAGGTGGTGGTCTACCACCGCCCATTCCGATGGTCTCACTGCCATCATGAGGCCTGGCGATGGTAATGGGGAATACAGTAGAGGGAGGGTTGATCGGAGCAAAGGAAAGATGGCTTGCAGACAGTAGAAGAAGCACAGACAGCGAGTGATGGTCTACCCATGCATGTATACGCAGTTGCATGATGGTCGCTCACCATCTCCCCTGGCGTTTGTGCGAGGCAGCTTGAGAAGCTGGTAACCCGCACCCTGTAACGCTGTGTCGTACATGTCTACCCACTCCGGATTGGCCAGCCAACACTCCTGCATAACAGATTGGCACAATAAAAATAAGTGAGGAAGGAAATCCTTAAAAGATGACGATCTTGAGCACCTTGCCAATAACATTCTACAGCAAAAGATGTAACCTAACTCTAGGATCTGATTTCCGAGTTCCCTGAAGAACCGCTTACGTTCCGTGTACCTACTTTTCGCAGTTACGGGCTCATCCATTAACAAAGAAGTACAAAACCTAAAATCGGGATACCTGCAAGCACAGGATGGAAGACTTGGTATCGAGCAACGTTCTCAATATCTCCTGATTGCGCTCCCGCCATACATGCTGACACGCGCTCTCCCTCTCACTCTGCCACAACGGACACACGGTGAGAGAGATAGAGAGACCGGGATAAGCAACGCTTCGTTAGGTGGAATCATAGGAACAATACACAACCTTGCATGGCAAAGCAACACAGCGCATGGCTAGCAACACAGGGCATGGCACACAGTAGCGCACCGCCCCAAAAGAACCAAAAACATCCGGTCTCTGACTCCTCCCTCCGTCTGCGCCTTACCTCGACACCCATTCTCTTGTAGATCGGCGCAAGCACGTTGAACGTGGTACACGATAGAACCGTCTCCTCCTCCACCGTTCTCCACCGTTGCTCGTTCATCGCCTCCGCGCGCGCCTCGTCCACCACCGCCATCGCCGCTGCGCTCTGGTAACCCCGTGCCGCGTAGCTCAGGCGCCTCTCGCCGCCAGTTACGCCGCAAAAACCGCTCACGGACGCGTCGCGATGCCGTATTAAAGGCCAACTTCGCTCTTGGGAAGAAAAAATCGGAAACCCCCGGTCATGAGCTGTTTGTGAGCCGTACGGCACGGCGAAAGCCTCGTTGAATGGTTGCCGAACCAAAAACACGCTATCGCGACTCAGTGTTCCTGGTTGTCTTTGCCGGGCGGCGAACGTTTGAGATTTGTCCCTTGCGACGTTCGTGAAAGCGTGGAAGTAACCGAGATGGCCAATTTGACCTCGAAGCGAGGTAACGTTCAGCCTTAATCTCTCCATAGGAGAGTCGTGAAATTGATCGTGCGAAGTTCGACAACGTTCGCATGACGACGACGACGAAGACGACGCGTCTGTATCTTCGCAGCAGCTCGCGGAATCGCAGCAATTGACCGTTTGACGAACAGAGGTCGAAGCGGGAAACCACTCGTCCGAAGGTTGTGCGACGAAGCGTGAAACGCAAGGCGACGCAAATCTCGAGAACGCAGTGGCGGCAAGACCGTTGCTGCTGAGGAGGATAGCATCTGCTGCCATGATGGCGTGGCGAACCCAGAGTTGATTCGGCGCGCACAAGCAGGCAGCATTTGGTGGGAATCCCGCAAAACTTACAGCATGCATGACGGCTGTTGATTAGGCTAGTTAAAGCTGGGAAAAGGTGAAAGGGTTTGAGGGGCGAACTGACTTGTGCTTGGATGGCAGTCTGCCTGTCCGTCGCTTGTCTCGTGGTCTGTGGGGAGAGTGTAGGCGCATTTGAGTTGAAAGGTCGGCAAACTAGGAATATGTGAGCTGAGGCGCGTGGGATGCTTTGATTATAGAGGGAAGCGAAGGGGTGGGAAGACTAACCAAAGCAGTGGCGAAGTGCTACGAGAAAACTTGCTCGCCGCATGTGTTCGCTTGGCGGCTGGAAGTAGCAAGAAAGGCTTCATATGTTGACGATTTGTTCGCTAATTGGCAGCGGTAAAGTTACCCTAGGGTTGGGCGGCGGGTGATCATCCTTCAAGCAGCTGATTGGCTATTGAAGCAGCCCTGATTATCTCCAGACCAGAGTCACCTTTGTGCCTGTTCAGATGTGGCACACCAAAAAATTCTGCTCCAAAAGTGATCGATCCACGTAGACATATCCAGTAAATTCCTTTTCGTCCGTCATCATCCCCTTCAAGCTTGCGCGGCATTGCCGCACTCCCTCGCGTGAAGAGTGGCCGGGACGTCAGCCACGGAACATCATACGCCAGTTTAGCCATTTGTTCGTCAGCAGTCGCCGTCAGGCAGTTGCAACATCCTGAATCAATCACGTCCACCCCAGACACACACGACTACTGTACTTCCAGGGTGGTCCCTCCGTCCCGTCCCGTCTCGTCCCGTGTCCACATTCAGCCTTTTTTAATAACATTCATTTCCATCACAGTGTTACGGGTGCAATGAATCGAGGTAGCGAGAGTTGCACTAAGGTGTCAAACGAGTACAAAATGTGAGCGAAGGCATGAGCTAACATTTATACGCGAAACATGCAAACGGTAACGCGGTGCGTGCGAGCTGGCTAGTGCTACGCTGGAGCGAGGCTCGGGCTAGTCCCGAAGCGTAGGCCGATGCGGCCATGCCAGCAGTGTGAGGTTTGGCAAAACAGTGCGCGCGAAGTCGGCGAAGTTCCGTTAGCAGTAACGGGCGAACAATCGGCTGTTGCTGTACGCGATGTAGTCGGCTCCGTAAGGAATGCCGAGAAAATTCCTTACACTACCCCCCCCCTCAAGAAGCCCCCTCCGCTACGTGAGTGCGTGTATATCGCGGAATCCCCGGCTCCTCAGGTACACTTGCAGGGCAGGGTAATTTTCGATGTTGCTCAGGGGCACCCAGCTATCTTCAGTTGGCGTGCGGTCTTTCCAGCGAACGAGGAATTCAATCCTCCTGATTCCCGTGGGGTGGCGGATCCGATGGCTCAGAATTTTTTCGGGCTCGATGATCGGCTCTGATGCAGGGCGAGTCATTGATTGTGGCCGGTGACGCGGCAGTTGACTTGTGGTCGGGATGTATGGGCGAAGTAGGCTGACGTGGAACGAAGGGCTGATGTACCAGTCGGTTGGCAACAGTAGGTGTGCGGTGACGGGTGTGATCATGTGACTGATTTGGAATGGTCCACAGTAGCGTGGTCGTAATTTTGGTACGTCGGGCAGTCGCAGATTTTGCGTGTCGAGTAGCACGTAATCTCCAGATTGATACGTGACGGGGCGGCGGTGGCGATCAGCGTTGCGCTTAGCGATGACGTTGGCTTTTTTTATTGCTTCGGCAGCTCTGGCGCGGGCAGCTTGCAGGATTTCGGCGAATTGTTGTGCGCGTGGCGTTGGGTTGTCCGGACTCGGCGTCATGGGCACTGTGGGGTTCTGCCCATAGTTCAGGTAGAACGGGGACTGCTGCGTCGTGGCTGATGTGGCGTTGTTGTACGCGAACTCGATCAGCGGCAGCTGCTGCTCCCAGGTCGTGGGGTCGTCGCACGTGGCACGAATCAACTGCTCCATCGTCTGATTCGTCCGCTCCGTTTGGCCATCGGTCTCGGGGTGGTACGACGAGCTGAACTGTAGCCTGGTCCCAAACTGCTCCCAGAGGTTCTTCCAGAAGTTGCTGGTAAACTTCGTGTCCCTGTCGCTGATAATTGCTGCTGGTATCCCGTGCAGGCGAACAACGGCTGGGATGAACAGGCGAGCGGTCTCCTCGGCTGAGATCGACTTTTTGCACGCAGCGAAGTGTGCCATCTTCGTCAGCCTATCCACGACGACCATCACCGCGTCGTTACCCCCAGGGTTCGAAGGTAACCCTGTGACGAAGTCCATGGTTACTTGCTGCCAGGCGCGTTCGGGCGGTGGGATCGGCTGCAATTGACCCGCCTTCCGCTTCCTTGAACTCTTCATCACCTGACACGTCGGGCACGAGCCCACGTGCTGCTGTACGTCGGTCAACAGCTCCGGCCAGTAATAATACCGCTGCAGTTGCTGTCGCGTTTTTTCTACCCCGAAATGTCCCGAGGTAATCCCGTCGTGTGCCTCCTGCAGTAGCAGCTCCCTCAGTAGTGAGTACGCGGGTACCCAAATGCGGTTGGTGCCTGTTTTTACGTAATAAACTCCTTTTGCTTCTGCCAGTTGCTGTGAATTTCCGGTTGTGAAGAATGGGTCGGTGCGGTATCCGTGGGTAAATAGGCCAGTTAAAAGCGGGTTGGTCTGGGCGAGTAGGATGGCGTGGAGTTGGGCGGTGGGGCGGGTGAGAGCGTCGGCGATGTTGGATGCTCCTCTTTTGTACGTGACGGTGTAGTGAAAATTGGACTCGAGATAGTCCAACCAGCGAATCTGTCGTGGGTTGAGATTCGGTTGGGCGCGAAGGTACTGTAGCGAGCGGTGGTCTGTCCGTACTGTCACGTCGGCGCCAGTCAGGTAACATCGCCATACTTTGAACGCGTGCACGATTGCTAGCATCTCGCGGTCGTGTATCGGATAGTTACGTTCGGGCGGGTGTAGTTTGCGGGACTCGTACGCGATTGGCTAGAGGCCGTTCCCGAAGTCCTGCAACAGTACCGCTCCCACAGCGATGTCACTTGCGTCGGTGACGAGCTCGAACGGACGGTGGGGATCTGCAATGCGAAGGACGGGCGGGGAGCACAAAATTTTTTTGAGGGTCGAGAAGGCAGCTTGCTCTTTCTCCCCCCACGTGTACTCAACCCCCTTCCTCAGCAGGTCGGTCAACGGAGCAGTCAGCTTCGCCATGTCGGGGACGAACCGGCGCACGTAGTTGACGAACCCCAGAAAACTCTGCAACTCGGTCAAGTTGGTCGGCGCGTGCCAAGCTTGAATCGTCGCGATTTTCTTCGGGTCTATTTCCACTCCTGCAGCTGAAATAACATGCCCCAAAAACTCCAGGCGGTCCTGTAAAAACTCGCACTTCGATGCTTTGGTCAGTAGGCGGTTCTCACTCAGGATTTTAAAAACTGCTTCGATGTCCTGTAAGTGCTGTGCTCTGTCAGGGCTGTAAATCAGTATGTCGTCCAAATAAACGATGACGCATTTATCTAAAAGCGGGCGGAATGCTTCGTTCATGGTCATTTGGAAAGTGGCGGGGGCGTTGGTCAGTCCGAATGGCATGACGGTGTATTCGAAGGATCCGTAGCGTGTTCGGAATGCGGTTTTAGGGCAGTCGGGTGGGTTGACGCGGATTTGGTGGTAGCCTCCTCGGAGGTCGATTTTCGAGAAAACCCGGGCTGTGCGCAGTTGGTCGATCAGTTCGTCGGCTCGTGGGATGGGGTAACGGGACTTGATGGTAACCCTGTTCAGTGCCCTGTAGTCGATGCACATGCGAAGACCCCCGTCCTTTTTCGGTGTGAACAGTATTGGTGCGGCGAAGGGCGACGAACTGGGGCGAATGAATTCCTTTTCAAGCAGGTAATCGAGCTGCTTCCTTAGTTCGTCTAGTTCGGGTTGGGTCAGTCGGAACTGTCGCTGTACTGTTGGCTGTGCCCCCGGTTCCAGTTCTATCCTGTGATCGTGCGGTCGCTGAGGTGGCAGTCCCGTCGGTAAGTCATCCGGGAAAATGTCACTGTACTGTTTTAATAGTGCCGCCAGGTCACTCGGTACGTCGGTCAGCAGTTTCTGTAAATCGCCCCCCTTGTCTGCTGCCTCGGCTTCCCGAATGTCAACCGCGTACACGTCAGCTCCGGCCGCTACAGCGCGTTTCATCGTGATCGCATTGACACGCACCGACGAAGACTCAGGCGAGCCCCAGCGAGGTAAGGCGATGTTGTTACCGTTCACTCGCACGGTGCAGTCACCCGTCGTCCAGTCAATTCGCGGATTGTGTCGTCGCAGCCAATCACGCCCGAGTAAAATGTCGGTTCCGTCGAGGGTCGTTGCGAGCATTTCCTGGCTAAACGTGAAGTTTCCCCCGCA